TAATAATAATAATAAAAACAAATTACAAACAAAACCTTTTAACAATAATAATTTAATTGTAAAATGAACAATCAATCAATTTTTGATCTAAAACACAAAATGGATGTTTGATGAAAACTTTTCGGCAAAATAATTTTTTGACGACAAAATCACTAAAGTATCTAATTATTATTATATTGAATTTTTTCCCCACCCCCTCCCCTTTAAAATTTTCTGTAAAAAAAAAAATTTAATAAATTAAAATATACTAATTATTATTATTATTTTTTTTTTTTAATATGACAAAGTGTTTCTACTTTGTATTTATATAAATTTTTCAACTAGTTTTTTTTTTTTTTTTTTTTTTTTTTTTTTAAACAGCAATAACAAAATGCTGCTGTTGTTGTTGCTGCTGCTGCTGAATTTTAAATTACAAAAAAAAAAAAAAAAAAAAGGGAGGAAAAGAAAAAGGGAGCGAGTTTTTGATTGATTAACTTTTTTGAGTTTCTTACCTCGTATGCGGTATTCCTACTCCGCCATTTAATATTTTGTATAATTTACTTTCATACTGCAATTGTGGGTGTCTAGCTCTTGTAAATTCCATTTTAACAGCAACTTCCTAAAAAAAAAAAAAAATACAACAAATTAAAATAAATAAATAAATAAATAAATTACCAATAAAATCAATTTAAAATAATAATAATAATAATAATAATAATAATAATAATAATGATAATTTGTTTAAAATAAAACATTTATTTAAACGTTTTACCTTGACGCAAAATAACAAACTTTTTTTTTTTTTTTTTTTTTTTGGCGCCAAGGCTATACGTTTTTTTTTTTCTTTCTTTTTCTTTCTTTTTTAATATTCTTCCATTTCATAATAATAATAATAATGAAGAATGGAAATAATAAGAGAAATGGAAATTTTGGCATTAAATTTTTACAAATTATTTTTGTACAAAATTTGAAATTACACACCTGAGAAAAACGCTTTCAATATTACAAAAAAAAAAGAAAAAAAATTATGAATTAAATTTTTCTTATAAGAAAAATTAAAAATAAGAAACATCACAAGTTTTTATAGTTACACACACATACCTGTAATCAATATTAACAAAATAGAAAAAAGGTATAGAAAAAAAAAAAAAAAGTATAAAAGGTATTAAAAGTTAAATGCATTGGTCATTACACCAAGTACACAAAATCCTTTTTTTTTTTTTTTTTTTTAATTTAGTTATCGAGATAAAAATACAATTTTTATTTTTTCCCCCTCCCCCCCTTACAAGTACTAAATAAAAACCATAGATTTAATATAATGGATGTAAAATTTACATACGTACACGCACACACGCGTAATTTGTACACGCAATATAAAAGTAAATATAAATATAAAATAAATTAAGAAAACTAAAGGGGGAAAAAAACTGTTTTTTTTTTTTTTTTTTTACTACATGAAACATAGTCTAATAACGTACAAAATTGTCAATGATGTGAATAAATGTAGATTATTAAAATTGTAAAAAAAAAATATATATACTAATATAATGATCAAGTATTTAGGCTAAGATTTTTCTCAGTTAAATAATATGACCTTTACAGTTTAAAAATGATACATTCATTCATGAACATTTCAAGTACGATATCTGTGTGCAAATTTTTAAATAAATGCTTAAGAAAAACTAAAAAAAAAAAAAATTTTTTTTTGTAAAAATAATGCATGTTAACAACCATTAAAATAATAATAATAATAGGGTTCAAAATTTTATTTAATTTACTATATATATATATATATATATATATATATAAAATGTTTGTTTTTATTCGCTCTTATGCAAACATATGCATAATAAAGAAAGATAACGAGAGAGAGAGAGAGAGAGAGAAAAAAAAAAAAACAAAAATCAATTTGTCAATTAAATAAACAATAAAATTTTATTTGTTTAATTATAATATTAACTAATTACTAATAGCAATTATAAATAAAACCTTTTAGTGTAAGCCTTTGACATTTTATTTATTATTAAATTTTAAAATGAAATAATTATCGGAGTAATTGATAATTAATTAAAAAATTTTTACTCGAGTAAAACTTTTACTTTTAAACAGTTCAAGATATCAGTTCATTTAATTAATACCATTTTAAATGAATAATAATCAAGTGCAATATTTTAAATGGTTTATATTTTAATATGTGATGATACCTTCATCTCCAAAGAAAATTTTTACTAAAAATACAAAAACAAAAAAAAAAAAAAAACCTTTTCATTTACTGGGCAAATATTTCTAAAAATAAAAAAACAGTTATAATTTCACAAAAAAGTTTAAATTATTATGAACTCATCATTAGTGTACCATATGAATTGATTTCTAAAAAAAAAAATCCTAACATCTTATAATTTTTTATTTATTTTATTTTTATTATTATTATTATTAATCAAATTATAGTTTTAATTGTGACAATATTATTCATATTTGGTAATGGTTGATTATTTGGTAAGAAATTTTTGTTAAATTTTTTTTTCCTTTTAAATCGACCGTTTTTAATGTCAGAGAGAAAAAAAAACATAATTTAAATATTATTTGTATTTTTTAATATAAATGTTGCTTTAAAATTTGGAAAAAGTTAAATAAAAATTATTGAAAAAACCAAAATGGCTGTCGAACATATGACGAAAGCAAATGGCTGGAATACACATACTTCATTGGCGATATAATTATAAATTTAAATATATCAATAATGTAACTCAAAAAATAAAAAAATTTAACAAAGATTTAAATAATAATATTAAACGAAAATTATTTTATATAATTAATATTTTCTTACCTCGCCATTACTGATATTAATTCCTAAATAAATATCCCCGAAGGAACCACTACCAATTTTTCTCATTAAACGATACTTTCCACCCACAATAAACTCGTCTCGTAAAGTACCTGTTAAGGCCATTTTTTAAGTTTCTAACAATTTAAAGTTTTGAATTTAGACACATAAGTAAAAAATTAAATCAATAATTATGACCACCAAAAAATCACAACCAACAAGATTTCAATTCCAACTCCCTTAGAGAAGTGATCGCGGACTGACTCGCAGATGACGTCACAAAAGATGGTTTCACATTCAAATACCAAAACAAAATGATTCAAATTTTCATAAAATGGCGGATTGTTATTTACAACAAAAAAAAATTGCCCACCTAAAACTATTAATTATTTTAATAATTTTAATTTTAATATATTATATTTAAAAAAAAATTTTGAAATAAACTGTATATATATATATATTTTTTTTTTTTTTCCGTTTAAACTGCTTACTACACTAAGCGTATTTTCACTAATAACTAAACAAATATAACAAAGAATTCTGGTAAATTGTAATTCAGTAAAAGGAAACGAATCGAAATCAAGAGCGCGCTCAGAAATTCTTTAAACGAATTGTTTGTTAACCTAAAATTTTTGCAATTTTGTTATATTTAATTTCAAAGCATTTAAAAAATAAACTAAAATATTGGTTACCTCAAAGATTTGATATTATTTTTATTCGGATCGTGTGTTTTTTTCACAGTTCTCATATATATTTAAAATGAGACAAATCCCATTTAGTAGGTTTTTATTTTCAAGACAGTTTTTATTTAAAAACAATTTAAATACTTCAGTAAATATAGACATTAATCGTTATTTGAGCGAAAGAGTGATAAATCGGTGTTATTCTGTCAACAGTGAAAAACAGAATGTGATAAAAAATATTAGTGAAACGGAAAAAAATTTCTCTGAAAAAATAATAACAAATATTAATAATCAAATTATAAATAATACACACGGAAGGCTATTTGCCGTTGTTTCTATTAATGGACAACAGTATAAAGTTACTAATGAAGATATTCTAGTCATAAGATATCCTTGGGGTCCTACTGCTGGCGATAAAATTCGTTTAGAAAAAGTACTTTTAGTGGGATCATCTGATTTTACTTTAATAGGAAGACCTCTGCTTCTGATGGATCAAGTTTGTGTTTTAGCCACTATTATTGAAAACACATTTACTCATGCTTATCCATTATTTTTATTTAGAAAAAGAAAAAACAGAATGAAGCTTAATTTTAAAAAAGATCAATTGACTTATTTAAGAATAACAGATATAATACTAACTCAAAAAGTAAATGAAAATACAGATACAGATGGGTTTAAAAACAGAATATTTTAAATTCAGATTCATTTTTTTTTATTATTCTCATTATGTTGGTATACATTTTATAAATTCATAATTTACGTGCAAGAGTTTTAAATACTTTGGTCACATGATAACTTTATGAAAATTTTCATAATAAAATCATTTATAAAATGTCAATAGTTTTTTTGTAATTATATCATTTAATTTGTTAAAAGAAACAAATATATTTTAAATCATTATGTTTCTTGTAGTCGACTACTATTTTCATATTCGTATTCCACTTCTACTTCACCTTTTGTCGATTTTAATTTTCTCAATTTTGATGATGAAAGACCAATGTCCTAAAATAAAATTACAAGTGCATTTTTTGGTTGATTCAAATTGTGATTCAAATGGAGTATTTAATGAATTACTATAATCAATCGAAAATTACCTCAATGTCCTCTATATCAGATTCTTCTATATCTGATGCATTTTCATTCAATGCAACCTCTGTTTCTGATTCATCACTTTCTGCAGCAATATATTCATTTTCAAATTCCTGCATTTTTAAACTACTCTTATCCTATAAAAACAAAAATCAATGTTATACTTAAAAAAAAAAAAATTTAAGAGAAATAATATATATTAAATTATTATTATCTTGCCTTATTTTTGTCAGTTTCATCTAAATCACTTTCTCCTTCTTCTTCTTCAATTTCTTCTTCTACTTGCTCCTTGTCTAATGCTTTATCAAATACATATTGAGGAAAATTGTAAATATCACCATACTGGAATGAAAAATTTCATTCGTTTAAAATAAATTCAAATAACAAAGTTACTCTGAAAACAAATTATACTCACAGTTCCAGCTTTAAGTCTTTCTAATAATTGTTTTTCAATGGCATTATCCAATCTAGCAGCAATCAAAGCCTTATCTTCCCTCCTTCTCTCCCTTCTCTCTATTTTTCTTTGCAAAGGAACTAATTTCTTCCTAAAAGCACATGAAATTTTTTTAAGAATTACAATCCTAAAATTTTAAACATAAAAGTAATAAATTCAAAAAAAATTTATATAACATTAAAATAATTATGTCTTACTGTCTTCTCAGCTGTAATTTTCTCATTCTTATTAAATATTGAGTAATTTTCACAAATCTTTGTTTGCATTTTGATTTTAAATATGAAGGCCAATACAACAAGTTTTCATTTATTTGATAAATAGCCTTTTCAAAATTTCTTGATAGTTTTATTTTTTCCCATTCTTTATTCGGAAAGTGAGACCTAAAAAAATAAATTTCGTTAATAATTTAAAAATTTGCATTAAACGATTACCAAAAAAAAAAAACTAACCTTTCAGCTGTCTTAAGAAGCAAATATATTATTCCTTTTTCTTCCCTAACTGTGGCATATCTACTATTTGCTAAAGGACAAGAAGACCTGCTACACAATCCAGTCAAGTTATATTCATTTCTGCAAAATTTTTGAGTTGCTGTGCTAAAAAAAAAAAAAATTATTTAGATGAAATACAATCTTGAATTTAATGACAAATGGTAGATTAAAAAAATGTCAAATTATTTTAAAAAGTAAAAACAAAGAAACAAAATCAATTATCAAACTCAACAATTATAAATAAAAATATCTTACCTTGTTTTAAATGAGCAAAATGATCTGTTAATCACACTCCAAACCACCTAAAACAATTTTTTTTTTTTAATTAATAAATTTTAAAAATTGGACACAGAAATTTATTTATAAATAAAATTTGATGCATCAACTTTAAATAAGTCTTTTATTACTTAAAAATAAAATAAAAATTATGTATATATACTTACATCGTCGTGCTGCATTATAACGAATTATTATTTAAAAATTAACATTAACCTTAAAATTCAAAAACCACGTTGAAGCGATTTTTAAGTATAATGTAGACAACGTTTTAGAATTATTTATTTACTCTATGACTTTACATACCACGAATGCCGAATAAATTATCATGTAAATAATAAAAAAATTTCAGTATTTATTTTTCAACAACTTTATGTATTCAGTAAAATTTAATAATTTTTTAAAAAATAATTCTTAATACAGTGACTTCTTTAATCGTTTCAATTTTAATAATGTAATGTATTTAATTTGTGGATCGCGGAAATTTTTTAATTGTGTTTATTAATTTTCATAAAGTTTTTTTTTTTTCTTAAGTACATTGTAACTTTAGTAAAAAATGTCACAAAACACGATGACTCAAACTAATCACAAAACTGTATTTGTAATTGATCATACTCCCTACTTCGGTATATCATGTGAAGATTTAATGGAATTTGACTTGAATAAAACCAGAGGACTTAACGTAATACCTTTGGCGCCTGTATCTAAATCCCTTTGGACCTGCGGTATTGAAGCAGCCGTAGAGTATTGTAGAATTGTGTGGGACCTTTTTCCGGAAGGAAAACTTATTCGTTTTATTGCTAGCGATTCGACTGCTCATCATTTTAATTCTTGGGAGCAAAGTCAACAAAGTATATCCTATATTTTAAACAGCAGTGCTTATTTAGGAACTCCTCCTAGAGCACATCAGCAAGGGGATTATTCAGTTATACATGGTTTAAGAGCAGCTGTTGAAGCTCTTACTGAATGTTCAGAAATTCAACACATTAAGAGAACTAGTTTAATGGAAAATGCAATGAAATTAGACAATAAATGTAGAGTTATATGCATAACATCCACAAGAGATAATGCTAGTATGAAAAGTCTTCAAGAAATTTTTTTGAAGGTTTGTTTAAATTTAATATTAACGTTAATGCAAAAAAATTTAAAGTATCGAAATTAATGTTTTATTACATTGCTTTTTTTTTTTTTTTCAAAGGTTTTAACTCAACAAAACAAAGTAGCAACAGCAACTGATCATTTAATTGCTGTTCATCATTGTCATTTAGTTATCATCAATATTTTTCCAAATAATGCAGAAAGTAATGTAACTAGTCAGCCGCTAAATGAATTAAGCCCTCTTTTAAGTGCAGAAGTACATTCTGTGTGTGCTGGGAAAGGATTGAATAATAAACTATCTCATCTGATATTGGGACATTATGGCTTAGCTTCTACAACAGTTACTGGTATACCTATGAAAGAAGAACAAAATGCTAGTTCAAGTGCTAATTATGATGTAGAAATTTTTCATCATGCAAATGCTCATGCTGATCTTTACAAAACTCTTGTCACCGATCCACTTTTAATGAAAACAAAAAAAAATGGTACAGACTATGATACTGTCACATTAAAGTGGTGCACACCCAGAGGAAGTTCTGCTCAAGAAATGCACAATTGTACTGCTGCATACAGAGTTACACCGGTTGATGTTAACAGCAGGCCTTCTTCATGCTTAATAAATTTTTTGTTAAATGGTCGCTCAGTAATGCTGGAAATGCCCAAGAGAGTCGGAGGTAAAACTGTTAGTCATTTATTAACTGCTCATGGAGGGGAAATTTTTATCCATGCTTTGGCAACTGGAAGAAGTGTTTTAGAAGATCCACCTTCGATTTCGGAAGGCTGTGGAGGGCGAGTTACAGATTACAGAATCACAGATTTTGGACTTTTAATGCAAAATAATACATTAATACCTTTGCAAGGAAAATTGTCTGAAAATAGAAGCGATAACATTAACTTGCCTATTAATTGTATGAAAAATAAGTTAGATAGACAAACTAAATATTGGCCTATTACAATATCAGGAACATTTATAATGAATTTACGTCAGTACATAGATCCCCTACCACAATTACTTACTAAAGAAGAACTTACATCAGATGAAGTCGCTCAATGCAAACAAGTGATATCTAGTTTAGCTTCTTTAGAAACCAAACATGAACCATTAATACAACCCAACACTGGAGTTCGAGGAAAAGGTCAAAAGCGAGAAGAACAGTATAAGTTAATGTGGAACGAATTAGAAAAATTTGTCAGAACACATTGTCGTTCTGATCAACATAATAAAGTCCTTCATTACTTACTGGAGTTCAGAAACAAAGAAACGGATAACAAATCAACTGGGGATAAAGTTGAACTTGATCAAGCTTTGAGAGAATTAGATGTTATGACTTCGAAATTTTCTGAAACTCACAATACAGATTCATTTTTAACAAGAGCATCCGTGATAAGAGCAACTACGGATTCACCAATGAGTCCGCCTCCCGCTTCAAAAGCAACATCTCCTCTTTTAATGAACTCCCGACAAAATCGTACGACTGCGGGTATCAGTATTTATTCAGGACCAAGAACATTAATGGATCTTTGGCTGAGCAAAATCTCGGCCGATAGTAAGAATTCTAAAGATAAACGACCGGATTTCTACGGTCGATTAAATGCATCAGGTCCAATAGCTACTTTATATCCAAACTTGGTAAAAGACGATCGGGAAAGAAATAATAGAACGGAGGATATGATTATCGAATAAACGGACGAAGTATACTAATTAAAAAAATTTAAGCCAAACCTGCCAGTTCAAAATTTTGTCTAAAAATAATGAAAAACAAAGTTGCCGTTTTTTAAATGTACAATTAAAATCCAGTTTATTCATTTCATACTGTGATATTATAAAATAGTTTTAAAAATACACAAATTTAAGTAATAATTAAAAATTAATTAATTATTTATTAAGCGTAAGAATAACAAATATATATATTAAATAAAAATACATTGTATATAATAATTGAACTAGATTTCATCACTCACATTAAGCACAACAATCAATGATATAAAGCAAACTAGAATATATCGGACTAGATAGATGATATTGACTAGAATATTTATTGAAAATATCAAAAGCGATTATTTACAAATGACTCTCACCACGGACAGTTTTGTAATAAGTTTTTAGTTGGTTTTAAATTAACAAAACCATGTTTTGGGTTCCTCCTCTTGTCAGAAATCCACAACTGTTCTATAAAAAAAAAATATTTTTTAAGCTTGTAAAAATTCACATAAAAAGACATCAAATACTTTTTTTCGATTGAAAAAAAAAAAGAAAACCTACGACCACATAGCTCCTCCTTCATATGGTGGAGGAGTTGGTCTAGAAACTCCATTTGTCACGACAGCTTTTGTCACAGATCTGGATGTTCCATTGAGATCTGAATAAGCACAAATAGTAGGCCTTGATGGATTTCCAAAAAACTGAGAAGTGCTCACTTCCAATATAGTGGAATCCTTTTGAGACCTTAAAATCATAATTAATCCATTTGTTAAAAAAAAGTTTTTTTTGTAAAATTATATTTAGATGATAACCTAAAAAAAAGTTTAAGGCCTAGAAAAAAAATCAATCAATCAAAAAAAAAAAAAAAAAAAAGAAAGTTATGTAATTCAGTGAGTGTTTGTTTAAAAAAAAAAAAAAGAAGAAAAAAAACTCAAGAAATTCGCACTCAAAATAAATCACTCATATATTTTATCCTTATGACAAACCTGCAAAAATCTTCGCAAAGGCAAAATATAGAATCAAAGAAATCGTCAGATTCGTCTCTCCTAAAAAACAAACAAGGGACACATAATTCTGGTGGGATTATAACGACATTATTATCGTGTAATTTAAAAAAAAAAAATTTTTTAAGTTGGTACCCCCGAAGAAAAATTTTTAAAAAATATATATATGTATATACTTACGAGTATTCCCTTTGTATTCCTAATATAACAGATAAAAGTAAAACTAATAATATGAGAATAAATGTAGGAATTAAAAGAGTAAATGCAAATTCTCTCGTGTAACTTCTACCGGCAACTTGAGCTTTCGTTGGTGATGACCAAATCGGTTCGTAAAAAAATTCAGAACCGAAAGAAATTTTTTCATTACTTCCTCCAAAACTATTCATTATTGAATCTGATGGTTTATGTATCTGCATCAGTAAAAAAAAATAAAATTTTTTGTTTTTCCAGCCGTTAATCACTGAATTTGTTTTTGGATGATATATATATATTTACAAGTTTAAAATTACACCAATCCAATATGAAACCTTCATCTCTGAATATTCTTTCAACTGTGGTACGTTTAAAATCTCTTGGACAAGATTGAAGTTTCCAAAGCGGTTTTATTTCTTCTTGCAAATCGATTAGAGTATTCGAAAAAGTAGCAATGCTTCCAAGACGAATAACGACACTAAAACAAAAAATTATAATCTTTTTTTTTCTTTGTTTCTCACCCCCCTCTCTCTCTCTCTCTCTCTCCAATTTAAAAATTATATTATACCCTTCTCCTTCTGTTGGTCTAAGAGGTCTACGTGCTCCCAAAGACACAGCACTTGTTAAAAAAGTAAAGTAAAGATCTGAAAAACTTTCTTTCCATAATTTATATTTGAAAATGTTGAGGAGTCTTGACATACGATGAGAATCGAAAAAATCATCAACATTTAAATTGTCTATTTTTAAATGAACCTGATGTGTTGCAGGATTCTCTTTATGTTCTATATTTAAATGAATTACTCTTCTTCTCGTTTCATATGTTTTACTATTCAAACCAACTATTTCAATCTAAAAGTCAAATTATAATTAGTTTTTTTTATTATTATTTAAATTGCAAATGATGATGCTTCATTTTTTTTTCTTCTTTTATTTGGGGTCATTAGAGGTGTTATCACAAAACAAAATTTTTTATTAGTTTTCAACAAAAATTGAATAGTTACCAATATTTACCTGAAGTTCATTCATAATCAAATTTTTTTTTAAAAAAATGTCTTTATAATTAGAAAGAAAATGAAAAAGTGAAACAAACAAGGAAATTTGAGGTTAATAAAGATGAAAAAAAATTATTAATTGTATAAAAACATGGGTTAGTTACTACAAAATGATACAATTACTACCTGAACCCATGTAAAATTCCGCTTCTTATCGTTGTCAAAAATATAAGATGTGCCTATAATCTAAATAAAATAAAGTAATTACAATGAATTTTTAATTTAATGATAAATAAAGGTTTTTTTTTTTTTATACAAATTTTTTTAATAATTATGTACAATAAATAAAGGATGAATAATTAAATGAAATATAATTTATGTTAATTAACAGATCCTGCAAGAAATGAATAATAATTTATGTACCGAGAAATATTTTTATAAGATGAGCTTATGGTTTATTATAAATCGAAACAATATCATATATGCAGGTTATTATTAATTACCAAGTAAACATAAATTTTAAAGTTTGTTTTTCATTTTTTTTAATACACAAGAATTATAACAATTAATATCAGACACATATAAAAAAGAATATTTAATGAAAATAAAAAAAAATACACTTACCTCTAATTCTTTATGATCCTGTGGTGGAACACCGAATAAAAATCCAGTTTTATGTTTTTTACTGTACAAATATTCAATCCATTTGGGTAAATCAGGTGCATTTAATATTGAAGCTCTGTATGTGAAATCATCACCAATTCTCTTAGACCAGTTAAATAGTGAAGGTTCAACAGGATATAAAAACAATTTTGTCGCAGGTAAATTTTCACTCGATACACAAACAATGAAAAGTAATTGTAATGTAATTAAAAAAATCATATTCAAGAGTATCATATTATTTAATAATAATAATATAAGAACTAAACAATAACATAAAACAGAGTTTTTGCTTTAAAAATATTTTTTATTTGTATTATAATAATAATAATAATAATAAAAATTTGACAAATAAAACGATTTAAAAAAATTTAAAATTAATTTTTTTTTTTTTTTTTTTTCCCCTTACCCAAACCAAAAATATTTATTCTTTAATTATTTAATTTAATTTATCAAATAACGATATTTATTTACTTAAGATGAAATTAATTTTCTAAAAAAAAAAAAAAAAAAAATATTCAATCTAATAAATACTTCACTCCATTATCACAATTCTACTATTGAGCGAGTTCAAAGAGGGATACTTGGACACAAGACGTAAAGATCGATTGACGTCATTACATTGTGACGTAAATAGCAGTAGGCGTTCCTCTGGAGTGAATTTAATTTTGTTTGCAACCAGGAAAAACATAAAAAATTAACTTTTTTTTTTCTTTTCTTTTTTTTTTTTTTTTTTTTTGTTATAAAAAATATAAAAAAATTAATTAATTAATTATATGAATTACATCAAGTTATTATTAAATTTTTAAAATTTTAAGCGATGGTAATTATTAGAGTGAAGTAAAAAGTTTTAAAAAAACTGATTTATTATTAAATGATGTCTGTAAGAACTACTCCTGTCGTATACATAACAGCAAATGTCGGGTCCATTTTTGAGGAAGTAAGCAAGAAAATTTTATAATTTTTTTATATAATTACATATTTAATAAATTTTATGTATATTTAATTTAATTAAAACAAGCATGTCAAATAATATTGTATATGTAATCTGTTTTATAATTTTCTACGGTTTATCATATAATTTTTGAAGGAAAATAGTATTTTTTTCAATTTCTGTAAATAAAAAACTAATTTATTATCATGAACAAATGGTAATTCTATCTTTATGTCATTCTTAAAAAATATTAAACTCGTTAGTAATCATATTCTGAATTTTTATTTTAAAACAAAATAATTTTCTTTTATTTGTTTATCACTAAATTTTATGAAATAAAACTTATATCTAAAACATTAATGTTTCTATTTTACCCCCCGAGTTTAATATTATCGATTATTTAAATAAATGCTTATGGAAAATCTTTGGGTTAATTATGTATTTCATAGTACACAAAAACTAATCCTTGAAATCATACTTTTAAAAACTAAAAACTTTACATTTTTTTTATAGCCTACAACAATGCTAAAGATTTGGACAGAAGAGTTTTTGTCGGTAAGTGTAATAATTTTTATTACTGTATATCATAATATTAATCATAATGTAATAATATAGTGTCATTAGAAAATTTTTATACTATTATTAGCTAGCAATAATAATTATTTTTCTTATAAACTATGTTAAAACAAAAATTTGTCGTTAATCTGTTATAATAATAATATTTCTTATAACATTTATCGTTAATAATAATTTTTTAAATTGTTATTATTCGAATGTTATTTATCGAATCAATACATTAATATTGTGTTTTTTTTTTTTTTTTTTTGTTTTAATAAATTAATTTTGTATTATATTTATTTTAATCATTAGTTAAAAATAAAACATTCAAAAATAACTTTTTTGTTTTATTTTTTACTCATAAAGTTATAAATAAAAAAAAATTTCATCCCTTTTATCTGTTATTAAGTTCCCCTTAATAGAAGGCGGTGCTTTGTGATTTTGGTGGGAAAAAAAAAATAAATTGATTTATATGTGTCATTTTCAGACAGTTGCACGTCTAGATCCAAAATTTGTTGCTTTGCATTGTCAGGAGGTCGGCGGTAAAAATTATGAAAAATCTATGCAATATGTAGAGAATTTTGTTAAACTATTGATTAATTCAGAGGAACTACGATTGTTTGACAAAGCTAGAATTTACTTAGATGAAGATTATTCTTCGGCTGAAAACTTTACGGTAATAATAATAATAATAAAGATTACATTTTTTATGTGGGCGTTCATTGAAAACGATAAATTTTAATGTTTTATTATTATTATGATTATTATTATAGGCTTTAGGAAATTTTTATTTCATTCACGAGTCCATAACGGATGTTCTTATATTTGATTTCGAAGAGCGTCGTTTTAAAGATGTTAACGGTATTTCAATATTTTCAAAAAATATTGAACATGAAGGAACCAAAGAGAAAAGCAAATTTCCATTGGAATATTTTCCAGAAGTAAATTCTTTTTCTTTTTTTTCTCTCTTGATAAATTTTATTTATTTATTTTTTTTTTTTTTTTTTTTTTTACAAATGTTTTTTTTATATTGTTTCCAGTGCAAATGGTCTCGTAAAGGATTTCTTAGAACCAGGTGGTGTCTAAATGGAACAGTATTCGATTTGGTCAATATACATTTGTTTCATGATGTATCTAATTTTGTTGCCATTAAATCGGTATGGTCTCTCACTCCTGTGCAAAATTTTTATTTTTTTTAATAAATTTGTGTTCTAAATGTAGTTTTGATTGTTTCAGTTCCCGTCTGTTTACAGTGATACCAGACGACGTGCACTTGCATATACATTAGAGAGGTTTCAGACTGATGAATATGGTCCTGTTCCTTTGTTTGTTTTTGGAGATTTTAATTTTAGAGCTGACACTCAAGGCGTTGTTAAGGTTTATTGACAATCTTATTATAAATATTCATTCACTTTAACGAAACATTTATTTACATATATTTTGTAGCATTTGTCTGAAGGTTTAAAAAGTTCTTGCCTTGATGAGGATGTAAATACGATTGAATTTAAACAAGAAGATAAAGTTATTTTTTCACTTGGTAAAAAAGAATTCAATCATTCCGATCACCAGTCATTATTTACAGTAAAAGATGGAGATTGGGTAAAGTTAAATTTTTCTTCTTCTTCCATATTATTAGACTTGAAAATGTGATTTGAAATGATTCAAAAAGTTATACAATTTATATTTTTAGTTGAGAGAGTATGATAAGGAACTCAATGCATTTTCCGATCATTTGTTTGAATTTAAAATTTCTTTTCCTCCGAGTTATCCATTTGAAGAAAATTCATCTGGTGATCGGTGTTACATGAAAACTCGGTGTCCAGCATGGTGTGATCGTGTTGTCATGTCACACTCAGCTATACCTCTAGTCAAAGATGTAATTTTTCTTAAAGTTGTCAATTTTACACTGGAGTAAAGTAAACATTATGTGATAAATGTTTTCTTTTCCTTTTTTCCAGTCAAACGATTCCAGTAATGTCATTTATAGCATTATGGGAAGGAATACTTGTATGGGAGATCACAAGGTGAGTTTTTTAAATTAACATTCGATATATATAAAAAGAAAGAGACACACATCAATTATTCATCATTTTACTTATTCCCCAAATCGTGTTATTTCATATATTCATTTAATTTTAAAAAAAAAGAAAAAGAAATTTTTTCACTATTTTGTTGTTACTTTGTTTATCGTTGAAAAGTTTATTATTGCCAACAAACTGAGAAAAAGGAAAAGAAAATTATCCTTAAAAAAAATTTTTTTTATTTCCTGCAGCCGGTTTATATGGGATTTGAACTTGTACACTTATAGGTTTTCAAGGTATTTATTTCAGTGTTATCCTACTATCATTGTTTTTTTTTTTTCTTTTTTTTTTTTTAATTGTCTCTGTTTTTTAAGTTTTTAAATAAAAAAAAAATAAACCTAATGCTGTGTTTGTCGAGCTTTTTCCTAGTTTTTTTTTTTTTTTTCCCTTCTCTTTTTTTTTTTTTTTTTTTTTTGGGAAAAAGCAACACTTTACGATTTCTAACTCTAATAATAAATGGCACTTTTGAGCAAATTTTAATTTTTAGATATATGCTGACATCATCATTATTAGCTTACTAATTATTATTATTTTTTTTTTTTTTTTTTAGTTTTTCTTTTTTTTTAATTAAAAAAAACACAAAACAAAAAAAAAAAAACAAAAACGAAAAAAAAATAATTCAAATTTTTTTTGCTTTACTTTAACTCTTTGTTTTTTTCCAGCCTGTGTACCTGAATTTCGATTTAAAGAGCGCTTCAGGTATGAATACAATTTTTTTTTTTTTTTTTCTTTACTATTCCATTCATTTAGATTATTATTATTATTATATATCTATTTTAAGCGACAGCACTTTTATATAGCTTATTTTTGTATTAAGGTATCGTTTGCTGTTTCTCTCTCTCTCTCTTTCTCTCTCACTTGCAAATCCACGTGTAATATTTTGAAAATATATATATATTATTTTAAAATTTGTATATTTATAATTGCACGATTAGTAAAAAATTAATTTTTTGAGTTTTAAAAAAAAAATTGTTAACAAACTTAAGCATGTGCTTGACTTATATATATATTTTCAAAATGTTGTTGAGAATTTTTAGATTTTTTTTAGCTCTAAAATATTATCTGAAAATGTAATTTAAATTTTAAATTTAGTTCACATGAAAAATTTAAATTTTTTAGAGCTAAAAATTTTTTATTTAGCTTTTATTTATTTGTGGTAAGGTCCCGAAATTTTTTGCTTTTTTTGCCTGTTTTGTTTGGTTTGTGTTTTTTTTCAAGTAGTTATTTGTTTCAACAGCCACAAACAATTGGTCGAACCCTAATTCATCTTCCGAAGGGGAAAAAAGTCTCGAGAATGGTAATCTGACGGATTCTAAGAATGAAGAAAATGGGGAAAGTGAAAAATTCGCGTCCGGTACGATTAAATATACGGAAATCGAGATTGAAAAATTAGCGTGCAGTTTGGAAGCATTAATGAGTCAAAATAGGAATGTTTCAAGAGAAGCGGATGGTAATACGGAACCGGATTTATCAAAATGTCCATCTTGTCAAACCTGTAAAAATTCGAATAAAATCGTTAATAATCCGTGCGGAGAAGAAATGTCGTCGAAAAATAGTCTCGTTTTAGAAGATAAAAAAATGATAGCGCTTTTAGCGAGCGAAATTAAAATACCCGAAAAACTTATAAAAAAATTCGAAATCCAAGACACGGGTCAAAGCAATGAAAAGGGATCGTGCAGTTGGGAATTTAAATCCGGGAATGAAAAATCGGAAAAATTCGGCGGCGTCAAAAGAGTTAATTCTGCATCCCTCGTGGAACATTCGCCGAAAAAAGAAGATTGGAAAAACACGAGATGCAATTCGGACGTGTCTTGGTCTCCTAATTGTTCGATACAAAATCAATCGCTAATGAAATCCTGGAAGTGTAACAACAACAACAACAAACAATTTATCCGTGGTAACAGCAGGATTCGTCTCATTTCAAGTTCAAATAGTTTAAATGCTAGTTTACCAAGACTCACGAGTCATCACAGTTCATCCGACGAGGATTGGTTCGAAGAAATCGAAGAAGGAGATGATGACGTACTGAGAATGAGCGATGTCAAACATGAAAACGAAGAAAATATTTTGAATATTTGTCCTGAATACTGTGGGGACAAAGGGGCAACCGCCAAAAGTTTACGACCCGCGGCACAATCCATATCGCGAACAAATCTTTTTTCCGGAAAAGAAAGCATAGCGCTTGCCAAAATGAATTTTGAAAAAATACCATCCGAAACCGTATCTTGCATCAATGCAGACGACAAATCCAGTAATTCCCTGTACGATAACATGTCCCTCACGGGGAAATCATACGACGGCGTGCTTAGCATAGACGAAGCCAAAAACAAGCAAAAAGTGAATTTCAAACCTGTCACGTCTTTAAATACGAAAGATTCGAAAACGGGTTTCAAATCGAAACCTCTAAGAATTTTCAGAAGGTTGGCGGAAGGACTTAAAGAATCTCACCATAACGAAGATCATCAAGACACTAATTTAATAAGTTCGACAAACAGAGAAAGTTTTGAAAACTTAATTGTAGATCCGACGGTAAGCACGGGTGATTTTGTAACCGCCGAAAACAGTGAAAATAAATACGACGATGACGTAGGCGATGGTGACGTCAGCGAAAACGTTGAAAAAGTTAAGGAGGAACCGGGAGGTGTCGAATGTAAAGACGAATGCAACGTAAATATTAGTTTGGAAATTTCTGGAACGGGGAAAGACGATTTGGAAAGTACAAAAGACACAATAGAGTCTTCGCAAACGTACAACGCCATAATGGAAAAGAACGAAGATAAAAAAGAGGGGAAGAAAACGGATTTAACGGTTTCTCTTGACGAATCGTGGGAAACGATCGAATTGGGTGGTAAAATGACAAAAGGAAAAGAAAAAATTTCGTTTGATAATAAAAATGTTAAAAATATAAATTTTTGTACTGACGATGATGCGAAGAAAAAAAAGTGTATAAATAATAGAGAAACGACTTGCTGTTGTATATTACAGTGAAGTACGAATTACATAAAAAAAAAATTTTTATTAACTACCAATGAGAGGTACCTTCTTTGTTTTTCTTTTTTTTTTTTTTCTTTTTCTTTTGTTTTTTTTTTTTTACATAAATAATTTTAGGAAAAATGTTTCGGAAGAAGAAGATTCGTGACGTTTGAAAACATTTATCTCGTACTTGAAAAATTTCATGGTAAGTTTTAAAAATTTCGTTCACTCCCACACACAAACACATACGTACATATATACATTTTAAATAAAAAAAAAAAAAAAAAAACTTGTGTACTTACATATTTATCCATATAAATATCGAAAAAGAAGAAATATCGATTTTAAAAATCGATTTTAATCGATAATCGATAATTTCACACACGCGTCGGACGGAGAATTTGAATCGGACTAAATTACTTGCTGTAACTTTAACGGTTTTTTTTTAAAAACATTCGAATTTGACGTGGCAGGTGGTAGTAGTAGCAGAAGCAGTAGCAGTAGTTAAAGTAGAGTACATTCGAGTATTCTTATTTTTAAAAAAAAATTTTAGTTAAACGTCATCACTTGTCTCCGAATCACGTGATTTATCGTCACGTGACTCGGAGATTTTTTGTTGTTCTTCTTTTTCGGTTAAAAAGTTTCTTTTTTTTTTGTTTTTTAAGTTTAAAAGAAATAATAATAATTTTGTTGTTGTTGTTGTTAATTTTACAGAATTATCAATCTCGGATCGAATAAATTCTTTGTGTTATTTATTTCAAAACAATGATGATGATGATGATGAAATCAATAAATTCGGATTTGATGATGAAATTCGACGGAAACGGGAAGTTACCGTTTAACTTGTTACCGTTGTGTTCTGGAAAAAAAATTCAAATTTTTTTTAACGGAAAATAACAAAACGAAAATTTCTTTTCTCTCTTTCTTTTTTTTTTAATTATCGCGCTAATTTTCGATTACGAAATCGATGAAAGAAAAGAAATTTATAAAGGTCACATACTATTATTATTAAGTTTTTGTTTTTCGTGTAAATAATAATAATAATAATAATAATAATAATAATAATAATAATAATACTAAAATAATACAAATGTAAAAAAAAAATTTTTAAATGGTTACCTTTTGTTTTATTATTTTATTTTATTTTATTTTTGAATAAATAATTATTATTATTTTTTTTTTAATTTATTTATATTTTAATATGTAGTCGTAATAATGATAATATATACATAAATACATAAACGTTTTAATTTTTTTTTTTTATTAAATTAAAGCTAGTCTTTTTAATAATCAGGGCGATTCGATTATTAATAATTGATTTTATCGATTTCTTATACGGTAAACCAAAAATATTATTATTATTATTATTATTATTATTATTATTAAACTTATGTAAAAAAAAAAAAAAAAAATTTATTAATGTGGTTGATGCCATGAAAAAAAAAAAATCGTTTTGAAATTTTTAATAGAAAACCTAAAATTTGTTTTATTATTAAATTAAATCAATTTTAAATTGATCTCCAAGTTAATAAATAAATAAATAAATAATTATGTAGTATTATTATTATTAATAAGTATTTTTGTCGTGTGTAATTATTAATTAAGTGTTAATAAACGTTTTTAAAATATTAATTACTTACGTAGAGAGCTTTAAAAAAAATTTATTATTATCATTATCATAAATGTCAAAAGCGAAACCAAAATTATTAATATTATTATTATTGTCATACTGTTAATTGTTGTTATTATTATTATTATTATTATTGTTGTTATTAATATAATAAGGGTTTTATTAAAGTAATAAAATTTTAATAAAAAAAAAAAAAAAATACGTAAGGAAATAATAAATACCGCTGTTATTTATTTTCCTTTTTTTTTTAAATAAAAATTATTAATTATGTTAATTTATTAATTAATTAGCATAAATTTAATTATTTAATTTATTTATTTTATCAAATCAATGTTATCTGTGCCATTTATTAATTAATATTACATTAAATATATAAGAATTAATAAAAAAATGTATTTAATAATATAAGCTCAATTATTTATTATTATTATTATTATTAATAAAAATGTTTGTTAGATAAATAAAGAGTATTTGTTATTTATTTATTTATTATTTTATTTTTATGTATGTATATGTACATACATAAATACATTCCAAAATTTATTTATTTATTAAAAAAAAAAAGAAAAAAAAAATTTTCAAAAATTACTAAATAAAAATTATTATTATTATTATTACCATCATTATAATTTTTAATAAATTAAATAAGAGAAGACATTAATAATAATAATAATAAAAATAAATAATAATGATAATAAATTAATAAACGTTAATTAATATAATTTTTTTTTTATATTTTTTTTTTCAATATAACATTTCGGACGTTAATAAAAATACTTATTATTATTATTTCCTTTTTTTCCCCCCACTTTAATTCGAGATAATAATAATTTTTTATTTAATAAATAAATAAAAACAAATAAATAAAAATAAATAAATAAGTAAAACAATTACGAAACTTTTTTTTTCATAAATAATATATATAAATATATACATTACATTAATATAATAATCGATTCCGTACATTTTTTTTTTTATTTTTTCCCCGTTTGTAAAGAAAAAAATTAATAAAAAATAATAATAATGATAATGATAATAATAATAATAATAATAATTAAAAAAGGCCACGTTGTAATTAATACACTGATATGTTTTTTTGTAATTTTTTTTAAAAATTTACCTGTACCTGTTTTTTGTTGTGTGTGTATGACGAACTACTAATAAAATTACTGTTTGGTTGATTGATTGCAGTCAGGCGGGGGGCGGAGCGAGAGCGAGTGGGCGGGGCGAGAGCAAGAGGGCGGAGCGTTCCTGGCATTTTAAAATCATAATTAAAGGATTTTAATTATTATTATTATTTAACTACAAAATATATATATATGCGTGTATATTTGTTTTGTTTAAAACGATCTTCCCAAATAAGTTATTTTATTCGTTTTATCCGCTCCAACGCTTTGTGGTGTGATTTCAATAAAACCCAATTTAGAGTAAAATTCGAAAGCGCTACGATTGTTAAAATCTATCGATACGTAAACTCCGAAAGATCCTAAAAAAAAAAAAAAAAATTTTAAATTTTTTCGTTAAAAGTCTTTTTTCGTGTCATTTGTCGGACCAACGAATTACCGTTTGCTCGAAGTGCTGCCAACAAACAAGCTAAAAGTCTTTTAGACACGCTTTGATCCGTTACCGATGGTAAAATTTCACACGCCATCACAGACGGATATTGATTATGTATTAATTCCGGCGAATGATAATCCGTCGTGTGAAAATATTCAATGAATTCCTACAGGGATAAAAAAAATTAAAAAATTAATTTTTATTCTTTTAATCCACTCTGATCACTGATCATCATCATCATCATCATTGTGTAACCTTCACTTTAACGTTTCCATCAACATCGCCATTATCATCATCATCATCATCATCGAGTGGATATTTTTTTTTCATTTTTTCAATATACGAATTTGATAAATTTTTAAAAAATTGTTTTGAATCTAATGCGGCCGTTGCAAAACCGACAATTTCAGTCTCATCTTCGACAACTAAACAAAATTCCGACGCGTATTCTAAATAACTTCCTACGATTCTAGAAAAAAAAAAAAAAAAAAACAAAATTTTAAAACTACTTTCGAAACCAATCGAATTGATTGATTTAAAAAAAAAAAAAAAATTACTCACCTATCTCCGGGTAATTTTTTCAATTGGACGGGTATATCAGAACTACAGCTAACTTTGGCGCATACGTCATATACCTGCGGCTTATCGGAAGACATGTAAGGTCTCACAGTGTATATTTTACAACTAGGAACTTCCGGTGCTTTATACATAAACAAATCCGTACCCGAATCAACGGGTAACAATCTCTGTTGAAAAATACAAAAAAAATTATTTTTGTCTCTTTTCCTGATTATTTAATCGCGGGGAGCGCGGGGGGAGGGGGTCTTCATTTGAAATACCTGAAGATCCGCTGTGAGTCCACCGCGGAAAACCCATGGTTCTTGTTCACCCGACATGAAAGCTTCTTTCCAACCTTTTGAAAACCCTAAAATTTTATATAACAAAAAATCAAAAATTTAAAATAAAAAAAACCGTTACAAAAAACTACCGACTAATTTTCATAGGTAATATTATAACTAAACAATCAACAACAACAACAACAACAACCCTTTCTCCTACATGCTTTATATGTAAGAAATAAAAAAATAAAATAAAATAAAAATAAAATAAAAAACAAGAAATAATATCATCGTGTTATAAACTGGGTGGGGAGCAGGAATGGCGGGGGAGGCGCGGGGGGGCGATGGGGAGATGGAAAAAGGAAAAAAGAATTTAAATGTCGCATCGTTGAACAAATAAATCCTTTCAATTACATAATTTTTATTTTGATCATCGATGCGTTTTTCAATCAAAAATTTATTTTCAAAGCCGTGATAATAATAATAATAATAATCATTCTCCTTTAAAACTTTATATATTTATCACAGCTTTGAAAATTTTAGACTTTTCAAAAAAAAAAAAAAAAAAAAGGAAAATTTAAATCATCGGAAAAGCCTTTTTTTTTTTTTTTTTTTTTTTTTTGTTAGTCCGCGCATTTTACGCTTTTCTTTTTTCCCCGTTGATAATAACTATTCTTTTTCTTTTTCTCCTTCTACCTGAAATCAATTTTCATTTTACTAACTAATTCATTTAAACAAAAATTAAAAAAAAAAAAATTAAAAAAAAAAAAAAAAAAACCGAATAAAATTAAGCAATTAGAAATTTTCTTATTGAAACATCATAAAGCAATCTAATATCATTATGAGTTTTTAATAAATGTGTACATTGTGGGGGGGGAGGGGAAAAGAAAAAAAAAATAATAATAATAATAATAAAAAAAAAGAAAATTTTTTTTTCTGGTTTCTTCGCATTTACGCAAGACTACTACGCATGATAACGCATGTGTTTACCGACACGTACATGTGTACTGTCCTAGAGTGTATGTCGACACCAAACCGGGAAATCGTCCACCAGCTGAAAAATAATAATCAAATAATCAAACTTTAATTATTAAACACAAAAAATAAAAACAAAAAACATTTTACAAAAATTTAATTTCACTTTATGTAAACTACTATCATTGTAGTAGTAGTAGTAGTTGTAGTGATACCTACTACTTTTTAAACATCATTACAAAGAGTTCTTACCACCACTACCTTATTTTTAAATAAATAAATAAATAAAAAAAAAATGAAAAAATTAAAAACGCAAAACGCAAGAGAGAATTAAGGTACGCATGTCGCATAATAAAATTTTTCCCCCTAAAACTTTTAGACTATTTTTTAAAAAAAAAAAAAAAAACTTGAGTAATAATCGCTAAAACGCATTTTCTTCTCACCAAGCCATTTAACATATGAATTTAAAAGTGACACGACTCCTCTAATATCCCATATATAAGGATAAAGATCGTATAGAAGTTCTCTATTTGCGCAAAAAGTAAGACGTTGAAATAATGTGTTGACGCTTTTAGTTAATTCCTGAAATTGTTTCGCTCTGTCAAACCATTCTTCAACCTATTAACATTAAATAAAAAAAAAAATCATTCGTGAATGTTTTCTTTAAAAAAAATACCAAAATTCCAACTAAAATTTACAGATTATTAATTTTCCCAAATTCGCCATCATTCATTTATAAACTATTGTAATAATACAATACCTCTGATTTAGAACTTCTTGTTACTTCTTTGTCTCCGGGTTGTTTTCCAGAACTTGCTAAAACGTGAGCATTTATTTTCAACCAATGGAATTCTTGCAAAAGTTGAATTCCCGATCCGCCATGTTCGAAGGGAAGATAAAACAAATCGCAAAGCAATGTCAAATCCGCCAATGTTAATTTTTTTTCATTTCTGAAAATAATATTCGTTATTGTGACCATTTTTTTTTTTCCTTCAAAGCTCCTAGTATTAAACCTACCCTAATTCGTTATTTTCTACATTTTCTTCATTTAATGACGTGCTACTACTACCATCTACCACCATTTGAATATTAGAATTACAAATATTTTCATCCGAAGTGCTTTCTATTTGCATTGTAGAACCATTCGATTCGGTTACAACCTTACAAAAAAAAAGAAAAAAAAATATTAATAGGTAATAATAAAGTAATTGAAATTTAAACGTTAAAGTCGTTGAAAACTTACAGTTTCGGCCATTGCTACATCAGAGACCAGTGAACTACCCTGAACCGGACTATCGGGACTGATTCCAGATGTGGGATTGCAATCCATTGGCTCTTGATTTGTATTTTTACAATTTTTATTAGTAGTTAAAGGTAAGACTTTGGTTTCGGATGCTAATGAATTCATTACTGATACCGAGGTGGGTTGAACTAATGATTCGTTCGATTGAACTGTGCTACAAACTTCTGCTAGAGCTTGGAGTTGATTCGCACTACAAACAGGTACTGCCACAGAATTTGTAGTCATGGTTGTTGAAGTCAGAGACATACAAGTGTTTACGGATGGAATGATTGGAATAGGAACTGGTGCAGCTATCACCTTTACAACAAAATTTAAATTTTTTAAATTATATGTTTATACAAATAAATAAAATTCTTTAAAAAAAAAAAACTTTCCAATATTCATACTTGTTGTGGTTTCGCTATTGGACCCCATGCAGGTTTAAATTTTTTAAATTCAGGTAACCATTCGTTAATTGCATTTTTAAGAGCTCTCCTAGGATGATACATATTTGGAGAAAGACCACAAGGGCCTTCTTCATTAACTCCTTCAGTCTCTAATTTAATATCAGCAGAAACGGTATCATCTAATCATAGAGTAAAAAAATTCAATGAAAATCATTTGAAAAAAAATAAAAAGCACATAATGAATTTTACTTACTTAAAGAAGGATCTCTAATGGCATCTATATTGCACCTACTCCATTGTGCTAATGTGTGGATGGCTACAAAATTGGCTCCGTATTCACAATTGGGATTTGTTAAAACTCCTCTAAGTTTTGGTATTAAATCAGGCGATCTACCAGAATAAGGACCTAAAAAATACATTGATTATTATTATTATTTCTTTTTTTTTTTAAATAAGAAATTAATTTTTATAATTTACCTAAAAATACTCTTTTTTGATCATAATCGTTAGCATGTAGATTATCCCAAATAACTGGAGGTCTCCTTAAAACTTCAGTTATTTCTTCTATAGATTCAATAGTTAGTGTTCTAGATATTACTTTAGGACCAGTCCACATAATATCAATTTCTTGTGGGAGTTTTGCTCCAAGTGTATTTAAATATTCTGAATTTCCAACATTCGGTGAGGCTCTGGCAGCACAATATTGTGTGGGACATAAAAGGAAAACAGGTTGCCCCAGGTGTTGATACATTTCATTTGTAACAGAAACCTGAAATTAAAAATTTGATTAATAATTTTATAATGGGTATTAAACCACATAGTAATTTAATCTAACCTGGGCATGTGCAAACGATTGAAATACTTCTTTGTCTGCTTCCGACATTTCAGGTTCAATATCATCAAATAGAAGGGCAAAGGCAGTGCAACCAAATTGAGATACTTGTTCCAATTTCCTTTTTAAGTAAGTTACTTCCTTGGCACTAAAGAATTATTTTAAACACTTGTAAAATACAGTTTATAATAATTTATCTACTACCTTATTAAACGTAATTCTAAACAAATTATCTTTCGCTTTTTTTGTAAGTAATCTTAAATAAGAGATTACATTCATTACATACCTAGAATAAGTAATATCAAGTCCTGGAGAAATAGCATAGTAAAATGCAATGCCTTGTTCTTTAGCGGATAAAATTAAACTTGTTAAATGTTCTGCTTCTTCTACTGTATAAAGTTCTCTCCAATAAGCTCTATGTTTATAATCATCTTTGGGGGCGTATAAATAAGAATTCATTCCCCATTTTTTTAATTTCTGAAATAAATCTTTTCTCTGTTCCGTTGTCCACGGTCTGCCGTAGAATCCTATGAAATTACAGATGAAAATTGTAATATTTTTCGGGGTAGAAATTTATATTTTAAAAATACAAAATTTGTTCCACTTATTAATTACGGTTTTTCTTAAACTTTCAAAGAATATTTTTTGTAACCACAAATATAAAATTTTAACTTTCTGATGAGTAAATTCTAATTTAAATGGTATATAAATTTTTATATATATACTTATATACATTACCTTCTACAACTCCACATATAAAATTATTGCTTCTTGCACTTAAATTATCATTGGACGATTTGGTTTCCGCCATTTTACAGTCTTACAGAAATATCACTTTAGATAATAATTATTGAGTCATTTATACTTTGTACAATTGTGTCTTTAAAAAGTTATTAATAAAAAATTTATCCAATTTCTTATTAATAATGACTAGTGTAAAAAGATTCTTGATAAAAAAAAAAAAAAACAAACAAAGCATTTAACTAAACATAATTTATTTAAACATTAAAACTTGTTTATAAACTCTTGGCTTGGGCCTTTATAGCGATCACTTTATTTTTAATTTAAAAAATTTCTAATGCCACGTTTTTTGTTTTGGAGGTAAAAAATTTAAATGAATTTACACTTTACTTTTATTTAAAGATTTAAATTTTTCTTATTTTTTTTTAAAAAAAAAAAATTGTACATTATTTTTTTTATTAAAATTCAAATTAACTTTATAATTTAAATTTTATAAATTATTAGCGTCAAATATTTAATTTTAAAAGCGAATTAATTTACAAATATAATATATATTTAATTTTTTTTTTTTTCTTTTAAAGTTTAACCTTTACATATGTTCTTAACCCAGCCATCGAAGAGTTTAAATTTTGAAGTTTTTGAAGAGTTTTTTGTATTTCCTGAATCTAAAAACAAAGAAATTTTTTTATTATCTGAACAGCTTACCATAAACTATCATTTGGTAAATGAAAAAAAAAAAAAAAAAATGAACCTTGGAGATTTTATGACAGGTATGACTTCGTTTGGTTCTTGGAGAGGAAATTTGGTCATCTTCGGTGTTTAACTTTTGAAGCATATTAACTATTTCATTCATTTGTAATTCAAGATCGCTAAAAAAATGTATTACAATTAGTACACATGTATTTATTTTTTTTTAACTTCAAGCATCATTTGTAAAATTTGTTTACCGTGCTGAAATTTTAACTTTTGGCCTTCGAATATTTGTAGATTTTTTACCATTTGAATTCCTATACAAATCTGCTCTGTTTAGCATATTTAAAAATTCTGGATCAATATCATAAGGTATATTTTTAGCATAACCTTTTGATGGATATTGTTGATAGTTATCTAATAAAGCTATCTGTTCTTTTGTAAACCTGGCATGATCTCTCCAAGCCTGTAAAGCATTTTTATCTCTGAAACATTTTCCAGGTATTGTAAAATATTATAGGAATGTACACAATCCATGTTTATTTAAATATAATTACTTCATTCTTTGAATTTTTCTAGCTTGATTTTCTAAAATTTCTCTCATAACTTCCAACTGAGCTTCCCTTTTAGATTTTTCTTCGATATCAGCTAAAGTTATGGGTTTTCTCTTATATCCAAGCCTAGTTTTTTTGGCATTAATACCACTCGAAGACACCCTAAGGTTTTTGTGTTTTTTTTTATTATAACTATCACATTTAAAAGGTTTAATTTTTGTCACAGGTTTTGGACAAGTGCGTACTGTCACTGAAATCTACAATCACACAAATTTAAATTAATTAATTTATATAAATACAATTAGAAAACACAATTTTTTTTTTTTACATACTTTTCCCTTATTTTGATTTGATTTTTCACTTTTACAACTGTTACTTATGTCGTTTGTAACGTTTTTAAATTTTTTCGTTATAAATGGTCGCCATTGTGATAATTTACTCCAATCAGAAATTTGATTCTGATAAGTATTTGTCAAATTATAATTTTGTTCTTCACCATTTTCTTCATCATCCTCATCTGAAAAATAAATAAAATTAAAATTGTTTTCTTTGTCAATATGTATTTTAAAAAAATTATTTACTTACTTTGATATGTGTTTGTTTTTTCTGTTTCGCCATTTATAACATCAAGAGATGTTTGAATTTTTCTTAGATGATTTAAAATTTCAGAAAATCCTTTGGCGATAACATTTGAAGGTACGTTTGTCAAAGGATTCCCTGTTATTTGTAAACCTTTGAGATTAGGTACCGTACCTGAAATTTGTTTTGTTTTTTAAGTAATTTAATTATTATGTTTTATATGGAGTAAAGTTAATTATTACCTAATTCAGGTGGTAGATATCTAATTTGATTTCCTTGAAGGAGTAAAATTTCCAGACTATTGTGATTTTTTAATCCAATTGTTGGAAGTGAAGTCAAACAATTATTTCTTAAATCTACCCATTTAACTGATGAAAGTTTTTCAAAAAAATCATCTGGCAAGGAATTAAGTTTATTTCCTTCAAGATACAAATACTAAAATGTATATAATTAAATATTATTCATTTCAAAAGAAACATTTTATAGTTTTTATGACACATTACAAAACATGACATTTTTTTCATATTGTTGTTAAAAATATGTGATTAATTAACAAAACAATTTAATGGTACCTCGACATTATTGACTTTATCTAATAGTGAATCAGGAATTTTTATCATATTAGTACTTGATAAATTTAATGTATTTTCTATTTGTTCTGGAATTTCTAATTTTTTTTCATTTTCATCCGAATTCCTTCCATCACCATCTAAAACAAATCATTAATTTCATTACAAACGATTGATTTTATTTTATATTTATTATAATTTAACAAAAATTTTAACTTACCCTTATTTTGCATGACTTGAACTGCCAATTCTTGAAATTTTTCTCTCAGGTATTTACTCTTTTCTTTATTCAAACCTTTCGGTTTGTTATATTTTTTATAATTACCGCTTTGAATTTTTGTACTCATTTTAACAATAGTTTTGTTCAAAATTTTTCTTAAATAAAATCTTGATTTTTAACTTTTACCAATGAGGTAATCGTCATTGAGGATTAACATCCATTTTATTCTTGTTTAAAACTGTTTCCAAGGTAATTTTAAAATGTTTGCCAATAAAATTAATTTAAAATTTTAGTAATTTTTATAAACTTATTGATATTTTTTCACTTTTACAACATATCCTTTAAAATTATTAAATAATTATGTATTAATAATTCACATTTTTACATAAATAAATAAATTCACACTAATTATAATGATTACAAAGTGAACAGGACAAATCATAAAAATCATAACGATAATTCAATTTAAATCTATTTTTAACATTTAATTAAATATTATTTGATTTTCATTACAATAATAATAATAATAATAATAATAAATTTTAAATTACATAAACATAAATATGCATATAACAAGACAAAATAGATAAAAATAATAAAATTCAATTTAACAATGATAATAGTAATAATACATAATAAAATTTATGTAATAAAAAAAATTAATAATAAATTAAGTAATTAAAGTTTTATTTTTTATTTTTTTTATTAATAATTATTGACTGCCATATTGATTTTTTAGAAATTACACATACATATATATTTATTAACATTGATTTTTTTCGTAAAGATTTTATAATATAAATAAAAATAATATTAAATAAATTTATGCAACAATTATAACATCAGTTATTATTATTATTATTCTTTTATTACTACTAACACTATTATCATTATTATTAATAAATATAATTAATAGAAATTCACATGGGAAAATGATTTTAATGCCATGGACATTGGATAGATAATTCTATAAAATTTAAATAATAATAATAATAATAATGATGGAATTTAAAAGCAAAATTAAATAAAATAATAAATAAAAATAAAATAAATAAATAAATCGTTGTATGACTTGCTTGTATTATATATATATATAAATAATTAAATTAAATTAAATATAAACAATATTAAAAAAATAAAAAAAATTTATCACATCATTTGGAATATTTGCACTGAATTTTTTCTATTTTTTTTGTTTAACATCACATTTCCTATTATTATTATTCCTACTCATTAACTTAACTAACTTAAATAACAGACAGAAATAATAATAATAATAATAATAATGAGCCTATTTATGACATAATAATAATAATAATTAATTAACTATAAGCATGAATGGTGTAATATTCTTAAGTAAGGAATATTTTCTCTATGTGTGCGTGTATTTACGCTTGTAACCGTCAATAACAATAACAATAATAATAATAATAATATCACAATTAAGCAAAAACTAATTAAGGTGGAGGAATTCCAGTTCGTGCAGGAATGGGAGGAGGATCTGAAGCTCTTGCCGGTATGGGTGGAGGTACGCGTTCAGATGTAACAGGTACGGGACGTGGCCTTTGCGGAAGAGGAGGAGGATAATTATTTGTGTTATCACCGCTTTGAGGAGGCGGCGGAGGTTGACTTTCCGGAAAAGGTTTATAATTATTTTCTGGAATTTCTTCGTAGATGGCCGAACAAGTCTCGTAATCTACTTTTTTTTCGTTGTTTATGAAATCCGCAGAAGCGGCCTCCGGTGGGAAATCGTTAGAAAATGTTGAAATGCTAGGGGGTTGTGGAACTTGGGGAGCCGGTCTCACAGGCATGCTTATAACACCCGCTCTGGGTTTCACCGGGCGAGCAGGTGACACGGGTTGAGGAGGACGCGATGGGGGTGCAGGTCTCTGAGGAGGATTACTGTTCTTTCCATTAGATTCATCTAACGTGGAATTAGAAGCGTTCAAAGTTTCGTCATTTTGTTTTTCGAAAGTACCATCCGGTTGTTGAATGTTATTCGGAGAAATATTTACAGTTAATGAATCGTATTCGCAAAGTGGAGTGGTATTATTAGAGCATAAAGCCAATTCGGACTCTGCTTCGCTAACCCAGTCGGTAGTTTTCAAAGAAAGTTTTATGTTGTGGCCACAAAGTTGAGTTGAGCCTTTTTTAGCAGCTGCCAATGCACACTGTCCATCTCTAAATGTAATCCACATGGTATCTTCAACAAATCGAACCAATATCACCTCTCCTATCTGAGATAATTCTTGTAATAATGACATCATAAAATTATCGTCGAATACCAAATAAGCGTCGTCTTCTAAAACTTGAACAACAACCGTAGAATCGGGGGGACCCAAATATTCGATAACTTCTTTAAAAACATTTTTCCTGGCTTCTTCATTAATTCGGTAAACTTCGATATCGATAATTCCAATGACTGGACGATGATCGCTTTGCTTGAGCTCGGCTCTACCGTAAAAAACTAAATTTCCTGGATTCCAATCATTAGGTGAAGCATCCGAGTCTGGAGTTTGTTTACGGCGGCGCCATAAAACTCTGTCGGTCCAAGCTGGAGCTCTTTGCTTTTCACTGGTGTCGTAGTCGTCAGAAAATAAATCGTACTTGTAAGTTGGAAAAAAATTAATATTTCCCTCGATGAAGTTTTTGAAAACATTTCCCGATTCTTGCTGCATTTTAAGTTGATCGTTTCGCAAAACCTTATCCAATTCATTATTTTTAAGCGCCTCTTTTATTTCATCTTTGTCCATATCTATCCTGTAATTGAAGTCTCCGCACCAAAATACATAATCGTGAGAATTTAAGGTTCTACCCATGGGAAATGTTATTTTTCTTGTAATTTCGGCATAATCCGCGTTTCTCTCAGAAACCTGCGATTGACCGGCTGCAAAATGTGCACACACAAAGCACATGGATGTGTTGTAAAAAAGACATCGAATTGTGCATGCGCCTTTATTTCCAGTGGCTCCTCCCAATCCCGTTTTTACCGAGTCCAAGGCAACGTCACGAATGTAAGGTGCATGAATTTCTCGAATAAACAAGTACAGACACACTCCAACTAATTGCATGTACGTTATCAAAACGTACTTTTCATCTCTTGATAAAGCTTTTTCCAATTCTTCAGCCCATGCTTTTGCATTTTCAGTACTTGCAGCCATGATATTACTAGCATTTAAATCTACTATTTCTTCAAACCCGATTGCAAATATATCAACTGGAGCCTCGTTTCCTTGTGTATGAGCCAAATCCACTAAAGATTTAGACTTTGATAGTTTCGGAGCGTCTAATAACCAATCTGTTAGAGAAATATCTTTATGGGCAACAGATCTGAAATGTTTTCCGCCGTTCACATTATAAGTTCCTACTGCTACTCTAACAGTTTGGGTATAAACATATTCATTGTGTCGTTTACACATTTCTCTCAGTACATTAGTTGGAGCATGCTGCATGTTAGGAGGAAGAAATATTCTTGCCCTATCAGCTAGTTCACTATTTAAATTACTACCTAATAATAATATGTCTATAGCTTCTTGTTTGCTGTTATCCAATAAATTATTTTGTATGGTTCTTGCAGCAGACCTAGCTCCATCCATTAACTTTGAACTACCTTGAATAGCACCTGTTCCAGCATAAATTTTACTGATTTCATTGCCATTGTTTATCCACAATTGTCTAAAAACTTCCTCGAAACGAGTGACCATCTGTTGTTTTTCCATAATTCTTAATAAGTGTAACTGCTTACCAAGAATTTCAAGTCCTAAAAATGTCTGAACGCAATTGGTTCTATCCAAACAATCTAAACAATTAGTTCTAATAGTACCTTTTTGCTCTGTTATCATATCAGATCCTTTGGCATAATATAATGAAAATGCTTTCAAGTATTTTTCAACTTTGTGTTTTAATTTAATCAAATTTTTTGTGTTTCCACCTCTACATTCCAGATGATAATCGAATAAAATGTGAGGAACATCTGCATTTTGTAAAGATGCTTTATGATGAGATTGAAACAAACTACTAAGAAGTGCTTCTCCTTCCTTACTGCCAATCATAGAAGAACCGAGTAAGTTAATAATAACCTGATGTCCATAGCGATCTTTTATCATTTTCATGTGCCTTTCAAAAACTGAGTGGCTTGCATCGAAACCCCTAGACATTTTTACTTTATGTGACCCAACTTGAATACCAGGCTGTTCCCAATATAATGGTACTGATCCTCTTGTTTGAATAAAAGAAGTGATTTCATTGTCTAAAACAATCAACTGCTCAGTTTCAACAAAATTAGCAACATGACCATCGTCGTTACTACCTCTAACGTTAAACCTTGTTCCGGCTCTCTCGCAACTAAGCCTAGAAATAATACATGCTTTGGCTTGCCTGTGTCCAACATAAACAGTTCTAATTTCCACACTTCCACACAATGCTTTTAATACCCAATGAGAACAATTAACACTAAAACGTAGTAAATGAATGTGTAACATTCTATTCCAAAAAAACCTATTATCTGTAATTGAAGTGGTTTTCATTTTCTGGGCACATAATGTTAAATCTAGAGGTTCTCCAGTTGATGACCAAGAGAAATAAAAAGTTCCAGAATTCAAAAGTCTTCTCACTTCTGAAATTCTCTCTTCATCCTGAGGTTGATTACGTAAAGATATAAAAGTAGTTTGAGTGATTCGAAATATTTCAGAATCACACAATTTTCCAATTGATACGCATCCAGTGACTAAAACTAAATAAAGCACAGTATTTTCACCTGCGTTTAATTGTAAGACACCAAGACATCCATAAGCATCTAGTAGTTTTGTATATTGACGTTTCATGGAATCGGTTTCTTGAGAAGATAATACTGCAATGGCTTGAGATTCAAATAATAACGTCTCATCTTTATTTCTTTGTTCTAATAAAATACTATAGGGGTTCGGAGGGTTTAACTTTTCGAAAACGCGAAAACCTTTACCCATCGCCATTTTCGAACCTCCCCCTGTTTCACAGCCGACTTGTAAAGTTTTAACCATAAGTCATAGTATAAAAATTTTTAGGGTTTCTTACTTTAACAGTTTTACTGTCGGATAGCGTTTACTTTTAATTTTTAAATTAAAAAATTCACTCATTCACAAATGGGTAAAGTTGGATTAAAAATTAAAGCCAACCTTAAAAATGTTGATAAGTTATATCCAATGGATCTTGATCAATTCGGTTGGGCTTTAAAGGTAATAATAATAATTCACATGAAATAAATTAGAGTTAAAATATCAAAAAATTTTGAAAATTTTTTGGGGAAAAGCCAAACGAAACGGTTTTTAATTTATATTTACTAGTTAGAAATAGTATTTTTGAAAAAACGTGTACAAAATTTATATATTATGATTAATTTTGAATTATTATTTTTTAGGTAAAATGTACCGGCTGCGGAGAAGAAAATCCTAATTGGCATGTTGTGTCACAAAAAGAAGAAACAGAATTAATAAGAGCATCGGCAAATTTTGTTTATAAATGCAAATGTTGCAATCGACAAAATTCATTACTAATTATTCCTTTGAGCAGTTTAATGTCTAATACTAAAAAAGTACCTGATAAAAAAAATTTAGAAACAGTTTATTTGGATTCAGATGAAGAACAGTTTAAAACAATTATCGGATTTGATTGTAGAGGATTGGAATTGACTGATTTTGAACCTAGAGATGGTTGGGCTGTTCAAAGCGGGAAAAAAATATTCGATGATGTTGACCTTTCCAGTAAGGATTGGTGTGATTATAATGAAATTGATAATATTCCAGTTGAAATAACAAATTTTGAATCAAAGTTTGAAACCTATAAATAAATGATTATTTAAAAATCAAAAAAAAATTTTTTTTTCTTACTTAAGTTAGTAGCTTCTGTAAAAAAAAAAAAAAAAATAATTACTATAAGTGAATACTTGAATTTACAGATTCTTTTTGTAAAACATAATTTAACAAATAATTTTTTACATTTTTATACTCATTTATTTTTAATAAAATTTAATTTTTCACATTTTTTTGTAATTTTATTGCTTTTATTATCCTTGAAAAAAATGATTTTGACTTTTTCCAAACATTTTAAAATGGGGATTATTATTTGTTTGATTTTTTTCCAACTTTTAAGAAAATGAGTTTATTCGTAAATTTCCTAATTGGGCATAATATTATGGTGCTATTACAGAACATACTGAATTAAATACATATTGAAACTATAATGCTCTTTTAGTCAAATTATAAGGAATAGATTATATTCCAAAGTTTCTTTTAATCGCTACCATTTAATAATAATTTTTTTTTTAATGTCGAATAGGTGTCATAATAATAAACAATAATATTGAAAAATTTATTATTTAGAAAATTATTATTATCATTTATAATTAACTTACAGAAGCCAGTTTTATTTTTTTTTTTTAACACTAATACCATTACAGTATTTTGAAGCACTTTATTATTAATAACTTTTTATGTTATGTGGTTTTAAGAAATCTTAACTTGAAAATTTTAATTTATAATTATTTGGTCATTTTTTATTTTGTGTAAAATTAATAGAATATCCACCGCTATTGGGATCTTGCTGAAGTTGAAAATTATCAGTGGAAAGTCCAAATGGTTTCAACAGTTTATTTCCTAATTCTTTTAATGAACTTAACATTTCAGTTTTAAGTTTTTCATTTCTTTTATTTATTTCTTCTGGCAACCTCTGTGAATATCATAATTCAATTATTATTAAATTTAAAGTTTTGAGTAAAGTGGTTACAATTGATTATTGAAATAAATTATTTTACCATTGTCGCTGCGATTGCTTCACTATATCCAGGGTCAAACTCTAAAATTTTTTTATAATCTTCTAAAGCTTCATCCAACTTATCACATTCTTCATATAGTTTAGCTCTCCTTATGTAGGCTTTCACATAATTAGGATTTAATTCCAAAGCTTTTGAACAATCATCAATAGCTTCTTTATTTAAACCCTGAAATTATTAAAATAAAAACATTAATCAAATGCCCAGTTAATTATGCAGAAAAAATTTCATTGCAATTACATTTTTTAACTTTGCTGCTGCTCTGTTAGCATATAAAACTGCTCTTTCTTCGACAAATTCTAAAGGACATGTATTTAAAGCTTGAGAATATTTTTTTATCGCAGATTCATATTCTCCATTTTTAAATAAAGTGTTTCCTTCTTCTTTAATTTTAATTCCTAATTCTTTTCTTTCCTGTAACAAAAAAAATTAAAAAGTTAATCATTTGTGTTAATACAAAAATTATTGTTTTTCAATACTATGAATCATTATCAATATTCTTTTGATTACCTGTAACTCTTCTCGACTGCTTGCATTATCTAACTCCTTAAGACGAATTTCATCGATGGCATCTTCATCGACATCATCATGTTCATTTGCCTCTTTAGAATCACAATTATCACTTTGGTTTTCAACATTTAATTTTTTACATGACTCGACAACATCATCAATTATTTTTTCATTAGATAAATTATTACTTGCTTCAACATCAGATTCGTCTTTAAAAATAAAAAAAGAGTATTTTCAATCAATCTACTCAATAAATTTTAATTTTTCATTAAATTAATAAAATAATTAAGCAATACATTGCAATGTCTCTTAAAAAAAAAAATGTCAACATAAAGTTATTTAAAATTAAAACGAAATTTACCTTTGGTACCTGACATTTTTCATTAAAGGTATGAATGATGATATTTTAATGAAATATAAATACAACTAATGTTCTATGTAAATGAAAACTTAAAATTTTATTATTGAAGCGGTTTGCTAAAATTAACTATCGACCTAAAAAATAAATTTATCATAATTCAATTTATCAATTTTTTTTTTTTTTTTTATTTATGAAAATTGTAATAAATTGTTACTTCACGATTAAATATTTGTTTTTATTTTACAAAATTTTACAAAATTTAACAAAATTTAACAAAATTTTTCTTTTATTAAAACTAAACCCGTAATATAGTTATAATGATTTTCGTTTCGAATTTTTGCTTATTTTTTTTAGCAAGTTCACGAAAACAAGATGGAGTCTTAAATTGTAGTTGAATAGCTGATAAGTGTTAAATGTGTTTATTTTCTTAATTATTAAATATTTTAACATGGATGTTAATGTATATTCGTATCCTCACGGAGATCCTTTATTAATTGATAAAATCGTTAACGAATTCCTTTCGCAAGGAAAATTCGATAAATTAAGAAAAGAATGCATGTCTGATGCGGATACAAAGGTTTTAGAGCTTTTTTATTTATTTATGTACAATAATAATATTTTATTTATTTAAATTGTTAACATTTATTTAAAAAAATTAATATTTTGTATTAATCACGTTGTATTTAAATTTACAGCCTGCTTATCAAAATTTACAACAAAGAGTTGAAGGTACAGTAACACAGTTTTTAAGTAAACAAGTATGGAAACCAGATTTGAACAAAAACCAATTAAGGGATTCCTTAAGAAAACATATTCTAGAGTAAGTAGTAATAAATTTCATATTATTATTATTATTATTATTATTATTATTATAAAAACATAAATAAATTTTTATGATTTCTTGTGGCAGTTCAAATTTCTTTGATGCTGGCATCAATAGAATAGTAGATCAAGTGGTTAATCCGAATGTTTTGGGCACAGTATTTTTACCTGAAGTCGAAGAAGTTGTGTATAATTATTTGAGCATTCCTAAACCAACTGATCATTTTCAAAAAAAAGGTACTATTTATATAATTTATCAAATTGACATTTAAATTTGACAAACTTGATTTTAACAACGGGTTTCATTAAAAAAATTAAATTTTACAAATTATATTGTTTATTTTATATTGTTAATTATCATTTAATTATGTTTATCTGAAACTTATCTTTTATTTTATTTATTTATTTGTTTTATTTCATTTTGTTAATAAGAACATGCATTAGTTTTTTTATTTTAAAAGGTAGTTGGTTCGTCTTTCAAATATATATAAACAATTGTACTTACATATTGATTTATCGTTTTCTATTGTTAATGAAAATTTTGAATGTCCATATCATAATTTATTTTTCTAGTGTCATCATCCAACAGTGAAATTGAAAATCTTAAACCACCTGGAAGTGAAAATTACAATTTGAATGATGATTTTGAAATTAAAATAAAAGGTAAAAAAAAAAAAAAAATTGTCGTTTTTCTTTTTATTGAATGGTGGTATAAAACTTTTTGATTATTTAATAAAATTTAATTGGAAAAATTTAATTTTTTAATTTTTTTAGAAGAAAATTCTAAAAGTGATTTTAATGAAAAAGAAAATATGACTGATTTAAAATTTTCTGCTCAACAAAAATTAGAAAATGCAGAAAAAATGGGTAAGAATTTTGGTTTTTTATAAACATCATAGAATGGTGTTTGTGTAAGTAAGTTAGACGAACAAGAAACAAATTAATATTATTATAATCATTTAAATTTTCAGGATTTGATAAAATTGATATGTGGAAAGAAGAGTTTTCCAGTAAAATTAAAAATAATTTAACCCTTGATCGATTTGTTCAAATAAAAACAGAGGAGGTATCTTTGGAAAATCAAAAAGATTTTGGAAAAATGGATATTGTATCTGATGAAAGTCAAGAGTCTTGTAGTCAATTAGGAGTAGAAAAGCTGCGCATAAACGAAATGGAACCTTCAAATTCTTTAGACTCAGATAATTCTTTGCGATTAGAAATCAATGAGAAATCGATGAGTGAGAGCAGAGAAAGTGATGATTCGATTATGAATCAAATGAGTCCAATAAGTCAAGGTCGATTGACCCCTGAACTATCAGAAACTGATAAGCCATATGAGGATGATGCAGAAAATTCAAAAATGTTAAATTTCATAGGACGTATTCCTAAAATAAAACCAGAAGATTTAGAATCTGCTAGGATGTCTAATAAAAATGAAGGAATAATTAGTGAAAGAAAAAATGCAAATTCTTCCGATGAGTCTAACGGTTATAAAAGTTACGAAAAGAATGATTTTTTCGATAAAAAAGAAAAGAACATTAAAAAAGAAGACAAGAAATTTTCAAAAGATGAAAAACATCACAAAGAAGATGTGGATAAACGACGAAAAGACGATGAACGGTATAAAAATGTGAAAGAGAGGGAAATAAAAGTCGACAGACAAAAAGATAAAGAAAAAGAAAAGGATAAAGACAAAGATAAAGATAAAGACAAAGACAAGGATAAGGATAGAGACAGAGATAAAGATAGAGACAGGGATAGGGATAGGGATAGGGACAGGGACAGAGATCGGGACAAGGATAAAGATAGAGAAAGAGATAGAGACAGAGACAGGGATAAGGATAGAGATAGAGACAGAGATAGAGATAGAGATAAAGAAAGAGATAGGGAACGAGACAGGGATAGAGATAGAGATAGAGAAAGAGAAAAGGATAAAGTTAAGGAAAAAGATAATGACCGTGAAAGAAAGAGTCGAGAGGATAGAGATTCGAAATCGGATAAAAGTCGAGATAAATTTTATAGTTCGAAAAAAAATTATTCGTCGACAACTTTTTCATCGTCCAAAGACAAAAGTTCCAAATATCACAAACGTTCCCATCAAAGCCGTCATAGGGATTTGGATTTTAAAGATGATTCGCATAGTAAAAAGAAAAAAAGCGAGGAAAAGAAAAAAAATAAAAATACGGATGATCACGGCAAAGAGCGTAACAAAAAAGATGGGAGAAGGTCAACGGATCGAGACAGTCACGAAAGAGATAAATCAGGCGGAAGCAGAAACAAAATGGAAAATAAAAATAAAGAAAGAGAACAAGACGGAGAAGAAATCAAAAGGGAAAAATCGCAAAATAACGAATCGGAATTCGATAAAGACGTGGAAGTAATGCACGGAGAAGCGGAAGAAGTGGTTTTAGAAATGAACGAAGATTGGATTCCTTCGGATGGAGAACAAATTTTATTAGTCAACGAAAACTGGATTTGCTCGGAAGAGTTTACCGTGGAAAAAACTAACAAATGCGAAGAAAACGTTGAAATTGTTAATAAGGAAACATCGAATGAGTCTGTTGTAGATAAAATTTTAGACATAAAAAAACTCGTTCAGGAAAGAGCTTTGACAAAGGTCAAATTTCCAAAATTGATCGATGATTTTTACGTTAAATTCAATTCGACTGGATTTAAATATTTCGAAGAATGGGAAAAATGTAAATTGGATTGCGAGGAAGAATTTAAAGATTTCGTCGATGAAGCTGAAAATGATTTGACTCTCATATCAGACGACGGTTCAGATCCCGAAAGTGATTTTAATTTCGAAGAAGAAAACGCGAAAATAATAACGAATATGTTTAAGGGCCTTGGAAATTTCAAAAACAGCATAATTTTCGATCCTCTCACGTCTGAATTTTACAAATGGACAAATTCAAAACATTATGAAAAATATCATAATAAAGATAAGAAAAAAAAATGGCGTCGGTGTGTAGTGGAAAAAAACGAATCGGACGATTCGGTAAAAGAAAACATAAACAGGGTTAAAGTGAATTCAAGCGATTTTGATTTTCAACGTGAGAAAAACAAAGAGAATTTAGCCAAAGAAAAAAAAGCACTTCATTTGAAATTATTAAACAGGTACAAGAGAAAAGCTTTGAGACAGGGTAAACCTAGGAAAAGGCAAAAAAAGAAACCATTGCACGAGGGAATAAAAGAGAAAAATAGAAATTCAAATCATCATTTGACTTACGGAAATTATCAATTGAATAACAAAACGCGAATTTTCGAGTCGGAAACGTATCGCGAAACGGACGCCACGTTTTCAAATTCGAACATTTCCGAAATAACTTCGAGACTAACGGAAAAAACAAAAAACAATTCGAACAAATTTAATTTCAGCGGAAAACAAAACGATAATGATGAAGTTTCGGTGAAAAACGCGACCGCGACGAACGATTACGATGATGTTAAATCAGAAGAATATTTAAGAAGTGAAAAAGACGTTAGTAAAAGTGTCAATAACCGGAAATCGGAAGTAGACGATAAACTCGTCGAAGCGCTATTGGTCGGGTCAGAAGACATTAATATTTTAGAAATTCAGGTAAACAAACGTTTGCGCGCGCACCCACGTGTGTAAAGTTATTCGTACGTTTATTTCAAATTAAAAATTTTCTTTTTACAGAAACATGGGAAAGAAGAATCTCGAGGATTGGAAATGACGGATTTAAATTCGAAAAATCATCATTATCAAAATAGCAAAGGGGAAAATGATAAAAATAACGCTTACAATCAACAAAAATGTTCACTGCCATTGAGTCCGGAAAGCGACGATTGCGTGTCACTAAAAGATGGTAAAAACAAACAAATTTTTTTTTTTTTTACAGTTTTATAGAAAATAAATAAAATTTTTTATTTATTTATATTTTAGGATTTGTTGAAAAATTAATTAAAGAAACGACGAGTAAAAGGTTAATAAAACAACCACAACAACAACAACAAGAACAGAACGAAGTTGTTGTGGTCGCGCCTAAAAAACAATGCAAACGAAATTATTGTCAAAAATATGATAGTTTGGATTTGTATAAACCTCGTCCCGTGTTAAACAGTAGCAGATCTAGAAGTAGAGGAAATAAAAAATTATAATTTAATAAAATTATTTTCATCGAGTCGAAGCAATCAATATAACTTTGTTACGTCATTAAAAACGGTTTTTTTTTGTAACGGAAGACTTGTATTATTTATAGGCATTAAAAAAAAAAAAAAACTATGTATGTACATATAAATATACCTATACATAAACATTAATAATATAATAAGTATTTATTTTTGGTAAAAATACAATTTATCAAATATTATATCAAAAAAAAAAAAAAAGAAAAAACGGCATCATTTTAAGCGTGTAAAAATGCACGTTAATTTCATTTCAAATTTTTTTATTTTGCTTTTATAAACACTTTAAAGAAATCATAAAAGAAAAAAAAAATAACCGTCAAAACGAATAAATCATTTACACCACCAAATTACATAAAAAAAAATTTTTTCCTTTTCCTTTAATAATAATAATAATAAAAACGTTCACTTGTTTAAAATAATAATAATAATAATACGTTATTATTTTCACTTTTTCCGTTAAAAAAAAAAAAAAAATTATTTAGAATAAAAAAAAAAAAAAAACGAATGAATGAATGACGTAACAACACATTTTCGGTAAAAATTTATTTATTTTATTTTCGTTTAACGTACGTATTATTCGAAAAGTTTTTTTTTTTTTTCTTCTTCTTATAAACGAATTCTCCTATTTTAAAAAAAAAAAAAGAAAATCTTAATCTAAACGCGCAAAAAAAAAAAAAGAAAAAAAAAACAAATCATTTGACGGGCATAGTTTTTAATCTTTTAAATGCTGCTTTTTCTAAATTTTCTCTATGATCCGGATGTGCGATTTGTATAAGAGCGTAGGCTCTTTGTCTCAATGTTTTACCAAAGAGGTCAGCGATTCCATATTCGGTAACTAGGTAACCAACGTGAGCTCTGGTTGTAACGACTCCCGCACCTGATACCCAATAAATTATTTATTTATTATCATTATTATTGATAACAACAACAAAAAGATTCAACTACTCACCTTCTTTTATGAAAGGAGCAATTTTAGAAATGCCTTTGGCACTTGAAGGAAATGCTAATATCGGTTTTCCCAATCCGTCACGAGCTTCGGAAGCACCCCTTATGAAATCAACCTGTCCTCCGAAACCCGAATACATTCTAGTACCGATTGAATCTGAAACCACTTGACCCGTGAGGTCAACTTCAATGCAAGAATTTATAGCAGTCATTTTAGGCATTTGTGATATAATAAACGTTGAATTGGTGTAATCAACTTCCAACATTTCTGGAAACAGTTTAAAATATTTTTTTTTTTTTTTAAACAATAATTTAAAACAAAAAACATTTATTAGTCGTCCAGAGTTTTTTTTAAAAAAAAAAAAAAAAGTTCGGATACTGTTTGAAACGAGATAAAAGAATTAATATGTCGACACCAAAAAAGCACAACTAAAAATATACAAATTGTTTGTCGGGGGATTTAAAACAAGCCTTGAATTTCTTCCGTTTCGGTATCTAAATCCATATCGTAGACACTTGGTCTCGTGGATAGACCCGGCATTTTAGTTATTTCTCCGACCATGGGCACGACGAAACCCGCGCCGGCAGATACGAACATGTCGTTAATCGTCAACGTGAAATCTTTAGGTACTCCTTTTAATTTGGGATCTCCGCTCAGACTCAAAGCAGTTTTAGCCATGCAAACCGGAAGTTTGTCGTATCCGTATTTTTCGTAATCCGACATTAAAACCTTGACCTTTGGAACGAATTCGACACTTCCTGCACCGTAGATTTCCTTGGCGATTTTCTTAACTTTTTCCTCTATCGGAAGAGACAAATCGTACAAAAATTGAAATTCGTTACGTTCTTGACAGGCTTCAATGACCGCATCGGCCAGTTCTTCGGCACCTTGTCCACCGTGTTCCCAATGAGTGCACGTAACAGCTCTGAAAGCTCCGTTTTGTAAACTGATATTTTTCACAAGAGTGCACTCGCGATCGGAATCCGTGACAAATGAATTTATGGCTACGATGACTGGTAAGTTAAACCTTTTTGCATTTTCAATGTGTTTCACTAAGTTGGGTAAACCTTTTTCCAACAAGGTTAAATTTTCTTCGACGTATTCTTTCGCCAGTGGACTCCCGGGAGTGACTTTTGGACCTCCTCCGTGCATTTTCAAAGCTCTGATTGTTGCAACCAAGACAACGACATTCGGCAAAAAGTTAGAAATTCTGCACTTGATGTTTAAAAACTTTTCCATGCCTATGTCCGATCCAAAACCTGCTTCCGTAACGACGTACCCATCTTTTCCGACCAACTTGAGAGCCACTGCATCGGCCACTATAGAAGAACATCCGTGGGCAATATTGGCGAATGGGCCGGCGTGAACGAGCACAGGAGAGCCTTCCAAACTTTGCATGAGAGTAGGTTGAATAGCGTCCTTTAATAAAATAGCCATAGCTCCCGTCATTCCCAAATCTTCTGCAGTTACCGCTTCCCCTTTCCTACTAAATCCGACAACAATTTTTCCCAATCTTTCTTTCATGTCCGCTAAATTCGTAGACAAAGCCAATATGGCCATGACTTCGGATGCCACGGATATATCAAATGCCGTTTCGCGATGTAATCCTTTTTCCGTGGGCGATTGTCCAACGGTTATTTTTCTCAAAAAACGATCATTTATATCCACGACTCTTCTCCACGTTACAGTTTTCGGATCTATATCCAATCTGGAAAATCTTCCGGCTTCTTCCGGCGTGAGAGAATCGGGATCAGTCTTTGAAATTCCCAATTTTTGAAGCCTTTTTAATTGAATTTTAGAAAATTGTCTTTTCCCTCTTACGGTTGGGACGAGACGGTCGTAAAGTGATTTATCACTTTGAGAAGTTTCGTGAAGGATTCGAGCATCGATTTGGGCGGCAAGAAGGTTGTTGGCGGCAGTCACAGCATGTATGTCACCAGTTAAATGCAAATTAAAGTCTTCCATTGGAATAACCTTAAAAATATGAAAATTACTCACTACAAAATATAAAATTTCGTTCATGAGCTGCTCTGCAGAATGTATTTTATTACCTGAGAATAGCCACCTCCTGCTGCTCCTCCTTTGATGCCAAATGTCGGCCCTTGAGAAGGCTGTCGTATGCATGCAAATGAATTTTTATCACGATGAGCAGATAATGCTTGAACCAATCCCAATGTTGTCGTACTTTTACCCTCTCCCAAAGGAGTGGGAGTTATACCGACGACGAGAACGTATTTTCCATTAGGCGTGTCCTTTAATCTTTTGACCACGTTCAAATTGATTTTGGCTTTTGTTTTGCCGTACAATGAATATTCGTCGTCCGTCAATCCGATTTCCTGTGCAAGGATATTAATATCTTTCGGAGTTTGTGCTCTAGAGATTTCTATATCACTCGGAACAGGAGATTTGAGATTCAAAGGTAGAGGACGAAGATGCCATTCGTTTTGACGAGGATTAGACGTGTGCAAAAAATTCCGGAAAACCGGTAAATTTATACGAAGCTTTAAACAATATCCAACGGAAAACAGCATTTCCTACCGATAATTCAATACAAACTGGACATGCGGACGTCAGCCCATGCCGAGCTCAAGCTCGACTTATCGCACAAGATATCAAGGTTACGATGAAGCTTCATTCAAAAAACTACGGTAGTCTTAAAAAAAAAAACATTTCAATAGATCAAAAACTTCTTACTTAAACTTGAATAAAAACATCTAAAATGTTTCTTTTAACTTCTCACACTATTGTTTTTTCTTTTTGTTTTTTTTCCTTTCTCTTGGTTTTGAAGTACTTTTGCATGTAAAATGGCGAGTTCAAAAATATTCCCAAACCTTACCGAGTTAATAAGATACTCATTTTTATAAAGGTGTCACTACTTTTGACAGTGTCGTCATATAATCAAAATATTAATAAATTATTTAAAATTATTCAATATTTTTTGAAGCTCCATTGATAAACTAAAAATGTGACGCAACAAACTAGAGGGCAATTTTAAATGACCCTTTACCTACTCAAATTACAAGACTTCGAAATATATATATACACATATATGTTTGCTGGGGGTCGAATTTCACTGTAAACAATAAAAATTTAATTTATAATAAATTAATTATACTTGTAAAAAAAAAAATACATACCAACAATGGGGTTATTATGTACAAAATCATACAATTTCTTTGGACCGATTAGAAAACTTGAAACTATTTTACCCCTGTGAATGGGTTTCATATTATTTGTTATACATCCTTTTTCCATAAGATCAATGACTCCAGCGCTAAACATTTCCGTATGAATTCCAAGGTCTTTGTGATTTGTCAAACTGAGAAGAACCGCGTCGGGAATATTACCAATACCTTTATAAAAATAAATAATTACATTTAGTTTTGTTTAAAAAATATCAATGACAGACTGTGGAGAGAATATGAGATTGATACCGACCCATTTGAAGTGTGGCTCCGTTTTCAACAAGGTTTTCGGCGATGAGTTTACCAATTTTAGACTCGACTTCTGTCGGCGGTTTACCGCCATGAACGGGCAAAGGAGTGTCAACATTCACCATGTAATCAATGTGCGACGAATGAATCATGCTGTCACCAAAAGTTCTCGGCATTTGAGGATTAACCTGAGCTATAACTGTTTTACTATACACCAAAGCTGATTTTACACAATCGACCGATGTTCCCAATGAACAATAACCATGTTCATCAGGGGGACTCACCTAAACCCCCCAAAAAACAAACAAAATCATTAATTTGAAAAAAAAAAAAAAAAGTCAAACTTAATCAAAACGGTTAATGGAAAAAAAAAAAAAAAAAAAATGGCGTACGTGAATAAGCGCTATATCCGGTTTGTATATTCCTCTATGAAATAGTTTAGGAATTTCAGATAAGAAAATGGGTATGCAATCGGAAGTTCCTTCTGCGACACCTTTTCTCACGTTCGCGCCCATGAAAAATGAACAAGATCTGAAAACATCTATTTAAAAAAAAAAAACCGAAATTTTAAAATTAATAAGTAGATATTAAGGAAAATCATGATTGCGTTTTCAATTTTAGGAAAATCAAATTTTTTGTACTGACCAGCATTTTCAGGCAAAGCGTATGGAGCCGGTCCTTCCGTGTGCATATGACAAACTGTTATATTTTTTAATTTTTCTGCTTTTCCATAATCAGTCATTACCTGTAAAAGGTGTTGAGGTGTAGCGGCAGCTCCTTGAGCAAATACTAAATCTCCTGTAAGCAAAAAAAAAATAAAATTTGTATTTAATAATAAGTCATTTGTATGCTCATAAGCAATACAAATAATTTGAATGATAATTCAAACCATTTTATTTTTAATTGATTATAAATAGGTGAGAAATATTATTATTATTATTATTATTATTTTGAGACTCTAACGTAATAAATAATGTCATTTAAACATTTTCACAACATGTTTTTTTTTAAAAAATTTATATTAAAAAAAAAAAAAAAACTAACTAGAAGAGAATTGGCGAAGAATCAATTTGATTTTGTTTTGTTTTTATTTTTTGTTTTTCTTTTTTCTTTTTTTTTTTTTGTTTACGTCATAAAGACCTTGTGGTAAAAACAGGCATAGGAATCCTCATAAATGAGGAAATTTCAAATTGAAAACACACACACACACACACACATATTTATTTAATTGTGCATGTGTGTGTGTGTGTGTGTATTACCTTGAATTAGTAAATAATGTTTGATAAACATAAAAATTCATCCTTTTTTTTGCGATAGGTCGTGTTTATTTTTGTTATTTTACCTAAAGCAAATTATTATTATAAATAAATATGGCGTAGAAACAAAAAAATAGAAATCCATTAGATAATTTTACATCATTATGAAGTAATAGAATTAACATTTAACAGAAAAAAAAAAATAATAATAATAATTTCCTCATTTTCATAATGATACCTGAAATTTACATTTATTATCATCTCAGGCTTAATAATATTGTATCAGGTTTTGAATTTGTTTCAAGTTTTATAAATTATCTTGACAGAAGTGAAATTCATTTTGTTTAATAAATTTTTTTTTTTTTTTTTCAAATATATTTACATTGAAAAAAACTGATGATGGCCACGGTTAAAAACGGTTTTTATTTTGATTCTAATAATAACTTGAATCATTTCTAGATTCTTCTTCTTCTTCTTCTTCTTCAATTCTCATATTACTTCAATAAAAATTAAATAATTGAAAGTGTTTTATTCGTTTGTTTTCTTTTTTCTTTAATTCGGTAATAGTAAAAATTGTGTTGATAAAAAAAAAGGAAATAATCTGATGTAACAAAAAGATTCTTTTTTTTTTTTTTTTTTTTTTTTTCTAATAAAATAAAACTTAATGAATGACATAAATTATGCAAAACTAGTTTTTTTTTTTTTTTTCCCATTTCAAAACCTATCTAATTTCCTTATTTTATATTCTTAAATCATACAAATTAATAAATTTATGTTTTTCCTTTTTTTTTTTTTTTTAAATCAATACCAAAGGTCATTTTAATGATGACACATAAACCTGATTATTTTATTATTATTATTATTATTTTCAATTAATGTTGTTTAGTCGTTGTTGTATCTAAGCGAGTAAAACTTGTAAATTACAAAAAAAAAAAATATTGTAATGGGATGTATATCAAGTTGCTTTTTTTATGTAAAATAAACATGAATATGCACATTAATTAATGTTTACTGAAAAGGAAAACAAATTTTTTTTTTTTTTTCGAAGCAGTGAAGACATAATAACAACAATTTTAGAATCAGATGAAATAGTCAGTTTCTATTATAAAACTTTTTTTTTTTTTTTTAAAAACTCTATCAAATTTTTAAAAATACAAAAAAAAATTGAAAAAATAAAAATTTTCATTTATATCGATTGATTAATAACATTTTGATACTCTCTCTTGAAATCGTTATGATTTAGTTAAGACTAAAAAAAATTTTAAATTTAGAATTTATAATATCAAGTAAACAAACAAGTCTTATCAATTTCATGTTGAGTCATACTTCATACTTTTTTTTTTATAAGTTCAACAGCTTAAATACTTAAGTAATACTCTAAAATAATTTTAAAAACGAATTAAGTAAAATAAAATTTTTAAATTAGTTTATCGCATATGTATATCCAGATTTTCAATTTTAAAAGTCAAATTTATGAAATAACTTTATGAAAACTTTATGAAAATGTAAATCGTCATGGTAAAATATTAAATTTTAAATCAAATTTTGATTTCGATAAAAAAATTGGTGGGTGCAATTTCGATGTGAAACACAAAATGTTATTTTAATAAAATTGGAGTAATGTAAAACATTTAATAATATATGTTTTAAAATTTAAATTTTCATTATAATAAAATAGAATGAATGGAAATAAGATCTATGAACTAAGAAAAGTTCTTTGAACTTAATAATATGTAGTTTTTTTGTTATCATTCAAAACAATCAAATAAACAAATTTACATATAAAGTTTTACTCAGTTTGAGCTCATAATGATTTGAAATAACAGAGATGATACAACAACAACTTAATTAAACAATTTGGTATTATAAATGTACACAAAGATTTCATTTTTTTTTTTTTTTTAATCTATTTACTGTCACTGTGAATTTTGACGTATAGGTATCATATAATTCACAGCTATTTATTAATAATACATTACTTTAGGTATAATTTAAATATTCCTACCAGACTTTAAAGTTTGTAAAGCTTCCTCGGCAGTCACACATTTTGGTTGCTTGTTAAGCGGTTGACTTAATTGTTTAGTAAATGAATAGTAGTACACATTTCGTTTACTTCCATTTAACTTTAAAGTTGTAGCAACATTTAAATTATTTAATAACTGAGATATTTTTATCGGTTGGCGCACAAATTTCGCCATTGCACAATAACTGAATTAAAAAAATAAAAAAAAGAAAAAAGAAATTAAATAAAAATTTTTATAATTATAAATTAAAAAAAAAAAAAAAATATTCTTTTTTTTAAACGGACTAAATTGAAACTAGCATCTAACTCTCGGTATTTATTAACTGTCCTATCGAAATAAAGATGGCCGTGACGTCAAATAATCGTGGCGCCTGACTGTCTGAAAACATTTATTTACTCTGAGGAAAAAAAAATTTCAAATTGTTTTCTTTTTTTTTAAATTCAAAAAAAAATTCTTTTTTTTAGCAAAGTAACGTTTATAATAATTTTTTATTTAATCGTGTGCTTATAAATGACCTCATTTTATTAAATAATATTAATTGATATTGATTGAAATTTTTATGTTACGTTATTAGTAAAAAAACTTTTTTATATTTGAACTTAAAAAATTTTTAAATTAGACTTTGCCCTGACTGAACTAATTAAACAACAAAAAAAAACTTATTGCAATTAGTGGTAATAAATTATTAATAATAATAATAAATTAAAAGTTATGTTAAATAACTTATTTGTTTGTAATAGTGCAGTATAATTTTATATGAAAACACATGTAAATAAAATTTCAAATACTTCAAAAACCAATTTTTAATTTTATTTTAAAAAAAAAACAATTTTTTTATACATAATTCAATTGATACAATTCTTAAATTATAAATATTTGTTAATCAATTTTAAATATAAAATTTATTTTTTTTTTTTTTTACAAATTAGTAAATACATAATTACTAAGCTCCCTTTGAGAAATTATATAGTACATTAGCCACATAAAATATCACAACCACATAATAAAAAAAATTTTTTTTTTTATTTATAATTAATGAGGACGGATTTAAGAAAAATAAAAAAATTAACAGAGATCTTTTTTTTAAAACAGATTAATAACTAAAATTAAATAAATATAAATAATAATAATAATAATAATAAAATGTTGAGCTTTGAATGTTTAAGCAATTAGTATAAAGCTACTAACAATAATACTGACAAGGGCAAATGTCACAGATAAAATATATATTCATAAATATTTATTTTGAAAAAAAAAAAAAACAAACGACATAGTACTCCTGTTCGAATGATGATAAATATCATTTTTTTTAAAAAAATAATTCACATAACAAATAAATAATCATTTACTATTACAAATCAGATTGATAAAGAAATTTTTTACACAAAATAAATAATTTTAATCGAAAATACAAACAAACTCGATGATAAATGTCATCATCATCATTTTTTTTAAGATAATAATAATTTTTTATTAATACTTTCAAGTTTATAAAAAAAGGCACTAGTAAATATTTTTACACAAAAAGTTTTTTATCTTAATTAAAACCTCATTAAAGTATAAAATTTTTATTTAAAAAATTTTAAAAATCTTTAAAGCAATTCGATTTGATTAATAACATTTTTTAAAAAAAAATTTAATTATTATTATTATTATTATTTTCTGGTAATCAATAATATAAAAAATATGTAAATATATATTTTAAAAAAATTTTTTTTTTTTATTATTATTTAATTTATTTTGAAAAATTACTTAATTATCATTTTATCGTGTAAAAATCATTTTATTTTTAATTTATAATTTTATTTTATAAATTTATTACAACAGTAAAAGGCACTGGAATAATAACAATAATAATAATAATAATAATACATAAACTAATTAAATTAATAAATATTAATATAAGAACCTACTACCTACATATTTGTAAAAAAAAAATTTACAAAAATATATATGTATATATTTTTTTTTAATTAATTAATATAATTAAAGTTAATAATTTAATAAAATAAATACAATTTTTTTTCAACCTAAATAATATATGTATGTATGTAAAGTTATAAAAGTATTCACAGTTTATATCAAAATAGTAATAATAATAATAATGAAAATAATTATTTCAAATAGTTTATGGTTTCGTTACTCGGATTATAAAAAAAAGGTAGTAGTAATAATAATAATAAAAAAAAACGTTTTATGATTAAGATTTTGCAGAAACAAAATTATAAATAACCGTTTTATTAATAAAAAATAAATAAAAAACTTTTCATACACTGTGTGAAGTAAAAGTGAAATAAAAAACTGGTGATTCTATTTTAGAAAATTAGTTTTTTTTTAAATTTATAATGAAAACTTATTTTAAAAAAATTAATCCGGCATCCATTTTTTTTTTTTTTTTTTTTTTTAAATTTCATCGAATGTGAAACTATCGATAGTCACGTGACCAGTGAAAAATTTTAAAATAACGTACACGGTCTATAAATTTTACAGTCGTGAATAAATTTAAAAAAGCTGAAAAATATAATGTAAGTAGTAATAAATAATTAATTTTAATTAAATTGAAACGATTACGAGAAAAATAGAGTAGGGATCAATTATTCCGAATGCATAAAATAAAAACGTTTGTTAATATAATTTATACGCGTATAAATACTGTTTTCTCGTGTAATGACAAAGGAAATATTATTTCCAGTTACCATAAACTACTTGAATTCTATTTTTTTTTTTTTTTTTTTTTTTTTAATGAATATTGCATAATAATAATTTAAATTTATTGTTATTTTTAAACTTACGTGTAAAATATAATTTCGAAGACGTTTATGAATTACGTTTCGCTGAGATTTTGAGTCATTATCACAGGTACTGAATTTGAATTTATTAAACCTTCTATTGAAGTCAATAAAATTTGATGCGGATGATTCGAAAATGATTGATCAACTATGACGTTCACATTTTGTAGTGTGAGGTTAGACAAATCCGTTGCGTTTATTAAATTTGCCGTCTGCGTGAAAACTTCCAGAGATTTACTAATATTACTACTGCATTGTCCATTTTTGTTATGACTTATCAAATGGCTTTGCTGACTAAA